AATCAACATTATTCTTTATTCATTAACATTATTTAGTTTTAACTACAACATGCACCTTATAAACTGCATATATACAATCTGGTTACTGCTGACGTTAGATAAGTTCTGATAAATAAAATCCCTCTGAGTTTAGCCAGAAAATAAACAATAAATGAAAGGAAATTTCAGCGTTTTGAATCCCTGTGAAATACTAGCAGGTGCTGCCTCCTGGTGGCTCACTGTTCCTGACACGTTTACACTGGTAACAAACTCCAATGTTATTTGTTTGTACAAATTACAGGATTACATATGTTAAACTGCGTATTTATGTTTTCCAGAGGTTTGGACCCATTTCCATACTTCTATACTTTTGAAATATTCACAAGAGCTGAACGGAGTCAACATCGTCAGTGGGCCGATATTTGATGTGGACTTTGATGGAAATGTAGATCCAGTCAGGAAAATGACAGAGTAAGTTTCCACAAGATATACCACGACTTTACTGATTGCTGTTGTCTGATATTCTGTTTGACAACTGTTTCTGAAAAAAGTGGATGTTTTCAAAGAAAATGCTATTTTCTATCTGTTAAAAAGATGACAGTTCTGTCTGACAACATGAAGAAAGTTAAAAAGTTTCAAAAAGCAAAGAAAAGACGAGCAGCAAAGATGATGAAATCTGTCTGTCTGGAAATTGTTGTAAAGCAGGATTTTGAACTCCTCCTAGCAATTATTAACAAATAATTGAACAAAAGCCCTCACTTTTCTCAGCTAAGGTCAGTGTTCTTACTTCAACAAAGAAAAAGAGAGACTGATAAAGATGGAAAAAAAGTCTGTCAAAAACTAAACTAAATAACCAGCAACAAAACTGAGACGAACTTTAGCAGAACATTCGTCAAACCATATAACATGACAGGTGACGAGACATGTCTGAAATGTGAAAAAATGTCTCTGATGCTTGTAACTGTAACTAAAAATGTTTAAAGGAAAGCATTTCTGAAGAAAATGAAAGCTAAACCTTAAAATCGAGCAAGAGGAAGTCTTAATTGAAGATGTGCAAACAGAGTTTCTGTATAGTCTCTGTATATTCAACACATTTATTGGTTAAGCTCTGACCAAAGGTTTCACACTTAGCCAAGACTTGTGAGCTATTTAAATGCAATTTCTGAATGAGGAAGCATTTGCACATAAATCAAAGATGTGGTTGTGCATATTTTATGAAATCCCCTGGCAATTACTATGTTGCTAAACAAAGATTGTGGAACATATAAATCAAAACCAGTTGACAGTATGGTGGTTGTTTGGTCACATCTCATCAAACCACATGCACTGAGCTTTGGAGAAGAACACCATACATCATTACTGATTATGTTCTTCTAATCTTTTCTCCCGTTTACTGCGACATTTATTTCTGTTTAATTTATGATTTAACCAGGAAATCCTGACAGCCTTTCCTCATATCCCCTGGCAGTTATCTTGTGGTAGTGCCCCTGGTGTGGAAATGCAGGACTGTTTTTGACAAATAGGGGGGAAAAAAACAGATTTGTGTCATCGCTTCACAGAAGGTGGAAATCAAAATAGTTAAAGAAAATGTTCTTCACAGGAAACTCTTTTTGTTCCAGCTGTTTCTTGTTAAAACCCCACAAACTTTTCTGTCTCTCCAGGAACGAAACTTCAGTGCCAACGCATTTCTTCTTGATCATGACCAGCTGTCGCAACTCAAGCTTCAGTCCTGTTAACTGTGAGGGTCCACTTCAGGCCATATCCTTCATCATGCCCCACAAACCCGACTACTCAGAGTTCTGTGCTGTGAGTAACACCAACCACACCTCTGTGCACTTTACCTTAGATAAAAGCTCCATACAACTACAGCGCCGTGAAAATGCAGAGAAATCGCAGCGACAATCTTTGATGTGAACACAAAGCAGAATAACTGTGGGGTGCTACAATCCATGTCATCTCAATGTAATTATACATCACCTATTTCTAAATAGAGTCAACTTATGTGTACTTTAGCATCACTATGCATTAAAGACAGCAGTTATTACAGCTGGAAACCAGCAATCAGACCTGAACATTCAAAGACACATAAAGACAATTACAAGGCCGGCCTTCTATCACGGAAAGAACAGTTACAAGATTAAAGGACTATTCATTCAGTTTTTACGCTCTTGTAATCTGGAACAAATTTACAGAAAACTGTAAAAATGATGAGATACTGACTTTCTTTGACAAAAGCTTAAAAAACCTTCCCTGTTTAGAGTTGCCTTTGATTTATAATAACTAAAAACATTGACTGATATATTTAGCTTTCTTGAGGATCGTAATGATAGTATTTGAGCCTTTTTGCTGAAATGTGCTATACAAATAAACTTGCCTTGACTTGACATAACCACTAATCCAGAGCAGGTTTAGGGAACAAGTAGCGACTTGAAGACGAAGAAAGAAGCAGAGAGGTCGCCAAATAAAGTCACGAAAACGTTTAACCCTTCCAGACCGAACGTAGCGCAGACAATCCAGCCAAATTTACAGTCCTGTAATTCCAACACACTTTGTGCTATCTGAAAAATTTCAACAGTTTCTGAAAGGGGAGACTTTGTGCTTTCCAGCCAATATCGGGTTATTACGGTAATTTCATCCCCGCCTTCAGATTATGAGTGCCCCCTTAATCTCAGGGACACTCTTTTACTATAATATGCTGTATATTGAAAGTTCCAGTTGTTATGGATAATGGGCAAATATATTTACTCACAGGACAATTAAAGAACTGCTACAATTAAAATAAGCAAAAAAAAAAATCCAGGCAGACATTTGAATCTTAGGTCCTTAAACATCTCGCAAATTACCACAAACAAACTTGGTAGGACATGGCTGTCCTCCGAGACAGACAAGCAGAGCATTACATATAACACAGTGATATATATAAAAAATTGCACTGTATTATATTGATGTTAGCGGTTGTAAAGTGACAGAATTTCTCTTTCTGCCTCTCTTCAGACGCAGTCTGACTTGTCGTGGTGGAGGAGTGGCTGAGGTTCCACATCGCACGAGTCCGAGACATCGAGCTGCTAACGGGACTCAGCTTCTACCATGACAGGATATCGGTGGAAGAAACGATACAGCTCAAAACATTTCTGCACACTGTTTAAACTCAGAGACTATGGCTGAAATAATCAAATACAGCCAGATCGGTGGGCATACAGCAATCTTTTTTTGGATGCACCATAAACAGTGGATAAAAGTTCTTATTTCACACCAAAATATTTCTAACTTGAAGGGACATTCATTTCATTAGTGATAATCATTTTTAAGACCAGTCTTCCTCTAATTTAGGCACAAATCTATGCAGTGAATCTCGATTTAAAGAATAAACATTTTGATCTTCCTCAGACTTTTTGGAAAAAATAAAATCACTTTTTGTCTGTGAAATATCAGAAATAAATTACCATATTGGATAAAATCAAAGAAATCATGCCATACATTAAGAGGTCTATCCATCCAAGTTTTGTTCCTGCCTGTTTTTTTATTTGTATGGTTTTGCACCAGTACTACGTTTAGCATTTCATCATTTTTTTAAAAAGATTTATTCTATTTTTAGTTTGTGTATGTTGGTCATGCAGGTATGGATTGTTTGCCTTTGCACAGGCAGAAGATTTATCCGCAGAAACAAAATTGTTGTGCTTTTATTTTATAAAAGCCCAATGAGTGTGTGAAAGAAAATGGAAGAAGGTACATTGTTGATACACCTTTAAATTAAAAACACTTTCTAGCAGTCAATTAACTGTTGTATTTTTCATAATGAAATAACTAAAAAACTATAATTCGCATTTATCCTTTTATTGCCCCTTCTTCCATTTTCCACACAAAGAGAAAAAGTAATTTATGACTAAGATAATTTTAATTGTATGTATGTATTTGCAATCTCCAGTTTGAGCCGCTAGATGTCACTAAATCCCCAATCAGAAATTGTACAATAAATACTGACGAGTTTAATCATATTTTATGTTCAGTAATTTGCTGATTTAGAATTAAAAATGTGTTTAGCTAATATTTTTCAAAAAATGAATCCCTGAAGTGAAACACATTATATTGATTAATTACACTGAAAATAATGTACACAAGCCTCTATTTCTGTTGATTATGATGATTTTCTGTATACAGCAAATGAAAACACATTTAAATTAAAATGTCAGTTCAGACCAATAAAAAACATTTTCTGTGTAGAAAATAAAATATAATGTTCAATGTCTGTTTAAATGCTACTTTAATCTGCCAGACAAGAGCCTCGTCAGAATGAGTTTGAGTTTAGATATCAGTGATTTTGTTCCCTATCTGTTTTTTAATTTCTTTCGTTCAGGGCATTATGTGTTGCTATTTGAGAGCTTTCAGCCTACTTCATGCTGCCAGACCAGTTTTATTGAAGTGATTTTTTTGATTTTGGCAGTAATGTGTGAGTGCATGGATGTGTAGCTTTTCCCCTGTCCTCTCCAATCAGACTGGATCAAACCACCATCACTCTACCTCCTGTTTCTCTTTCATTTTATGTTGTTATTTCTGTCTGTGCCCAGATGGCTTCTTTATCATTCATGTATGAGTGTTTTGTACAAATGTGTGTACATGTGGATATAAATTTGGAATCACCACACTGTAATTTCCAACGTATTGATTTTGCATCAAGTTCCTCAAAGGGTACATGATGTGTTTCTTTTCAGTATTATCAGAAACATAGATATAAACAAATACTTTGATTTTATATAAAAACATCCTATACCAAACTTACTATTTGGGTTTTTTTTTTTTTTTTTACTATTCAATCAGAATCAGTGCTGATGCAAAAAGTAATTTTACGTGATCTCACGTCAACAGAAGAGGGAAATTTTCAGCCAAAACAAAGAGATAATATAAAACCCAAGCAGCTGCTGCATTGTAAAACTCCCCCAGCTTGCAACACTCTGCATGAACACATAAAGGAAGGAAGCAGAGCTGCACACATTTCCTCTGCTGTGTATAAAAATCTGCTGCTTCCTCAGTGCTGTTCAAACTGAAGGTAAGACTTTGCAGCTCTCATCAGCAGTAACATGGCACCAATGTTCCCTGCATTTAAAAGTGAGTATTTATAGAAGTATTTGTCAGATTTGTGTGTTTCCAATTTGTGATTAGAGTTATTACATTATCAGCTCACAAGAGCTGAACGGAGTCAATCATTTCAAAACTAAAAATTGTGATCACTGGGGACAAGTAGTTAGACAGGCTGAACAAAGTGCATAAATCTGTGATGCGACTTGCTCATGTTCTTGGTTGTCGGATCCCCGGCAAGTAGAAAACCTGCTTTTTGCAAGCTTGAACAAAACACAGCTGTAAATCTATTCGTCAAGTCCCGAACCTGATGAATATCTTCATAGTAACATAAAATTATGAATCAACATTATTCTTTATTCATTAACATTATTTAGTTTTAACTACAACATGCACCTTATAAACTGCATATATACAATCTGGTTACTGCTGACGTTAGATAAGTTCTGATAAATAAAATCCCTCTGAGTTTAGCCAGAAAATAAACAATAAATGAAAGGAAATTTCAGCGTTTTGAATCCCTGTGAAATACTAGCAGGTGCTGCCTCCTGGTGGCTCACTGTTCCTGACACACAGGTTTACACTGGTAACAAACTCCAATGTTTATTTGTTTGTACAAATTACAGGATTACATATGTTAAACTGCGTATTTATGTTTTCCAGAGGTTTGGACCCATTTCCATACTTCTATACTTTTGAAATATTCACAAGAGCTGAACGGAGTCAACATCGTCAGTGGGCCGATATTTGATGTGGACTTTGATGGAAATGTAGATCCAGTCAGAAAATGACAGAGTAAGTTTCCACAAGATATACCACGACTTTACTGATTGCTGTTGTGTGATATTCTGTTTGACAACTGTTTCTGAAAAAAGTGGATGTTTTTCAAAGAAAATGCTATTTTCTATCTGTTAAAAAGATGACAGTTCTGTCTGACAACATGAAGAAAGTTAAAAAGTTTCAAAAAGCAAAAGAAAAGACGAGCAGCAAAGATGATGAAATCTGTCTGTCTGGAAATTGTTGTAAAGCAGGATTTTGAACTCCTCCTAGCAATTATTAACAAATAATTGAACAAAAGCCCTCACTTTTCTCAGCTAAGGTCAGTGTTCTTACTTCAACAAAGAAAAAGAGAGACTGATAAAGATGGAAAAAAGTCAGTCAAAAACTAAACTAAATAACCAGCAACAAAACTGAGACGAACTTTAGCAGAACATTCGTCAAACCATATAACATGACAGGTGACGAGACATGTCTGAAATGTGAAAAAATGTCTCTGATGCTTGAACTGTAACTAAAAATGTTTAAAGGAAAGCATTTCTGAAGAAAATGAACGCTAAACCTTAAAATCGAGCAAGAGGAAGTCTTAATTGAAGATGTGCAAACAGAGTAGTATTTCAACACATTTATTGGTTAAGCTCTGACCAAAGGTTTCACACTTAGCCAAGACTTGTGAGCTATTTAAATGCAATTTCTGAATGAGGAAGCATTTGCACATAAATCAAAGATGTGGTTGTGCATATTTTATGAAATCCCCTGGCAATTACTATGTTGCTAAACAAAGATTGTGGAACATATAAATCAAAACCAGTTGACAGTATGGTGGTTGTTTGGTCACATCTCATCAAACCACATGCACTGAGCTTTGGAGAAGAACACCATACATCATTACTGATTATGTTCTTCTAATCTTTTCTCCCGTTTACTGCGACATTTATTTCTGTTTAATTTATGATTTAACCAGGAAATCCTGACAGCCTTTCCTCATATCCCCTGGCAGTTATCTTGTGGTAGTGCCCCTGGTGTGGAAATGCAGGACTGTTTTTGACAAATAGGGGGGAAAAAAACAGATTTGTGTCATCGCTTCACAGAAGGTGGAAATCAAAATAGTTAAAGAAAATGTTCTTCACAGGAAACTCTTTTTGTTCCAGCTGTTTCTTGTTAAAACCCCACAAACTTTTCTGTCTCTCCAGGAACGAAACTTCAGTGCCAACGCATTTCTTCTTGATCATGACCAGCTGTCGCAACTCAAGCTTCAGTCCTGTTAACTGTGAGGGTCCACTTCAGGCCATATCCTTCATCATGCCCCACAAACCCGACTACTCAGAGTTCTGTGCTGTGAGTAACACCAACCACACCTCTGTGCACTTTACCTTAGATAAAAGCTCCATACAACTACAGCGCCGTGAAAATGCAGAGAAATCGCAGCGACAATCTTTGATGTGAACACAAAGCAGAATAACTGTGGGGTGCTACAATCCATGTCATCTCAATGTAATTATACATCACCTATTTCTAAATAGAGTCAACTTATGTGTACTTTAGCATCACTATGCATTAAAGACAGCAGTTATTACAGCTGGAAACCAGCAATCAGACCTGAACATTCAAAGACACATAAAGACAATTACAAGGCCGGCCTTCTATCACGGAAAGAACAGTTACAAGATTAAAGGACTATTCATTCAGTTTTTACGCTCTTGTAATCTGGAACAAATTTACAGAAAACTGTAAAAATGATGAGATACTGACTTTCTTTGACAAAAGCTTAAAAAACCTTCCCTGTTTAGAGTTGCCTTTGATTTATAATAACTAAAAACATTGACTGATATATTTAGCTTTCTTGAGGATCGTAATGATAGTATTTGAGCCTTTTTGCTGAAATGTGCTATACAAATAAACTTGCCTTGACTTGACATAACCACTAATCCAGAGCAGGTTTAGGGAACAAGTAGCGACTTGAAGACAAAGAAAGAAGCAGAGAGGTCGCCAAATAAAGTCACAAAACGTTTAACCCTTCCAGACCGAACGTAGCGCAGACAATCCAGCCAAATTTACAGTCCTGTAATTCCAACACACTTTGTGCTATCTGAAAAATTTCAACAGTTTCTGAAAGGGGAGACTTTGTGCTTTCCAGCCAATATCGGGTTATTACGGTAATTTCATCCCCGCCTTCAGATTATGAGTGCCCCCTTAATCTCAGGGACACTCTTTTACTATAATATGCTGTATATTGAAAGTTCCAGTTGTTATGGATAAATGGGCAAATATATTTACTCACAGGACAATTAAAGAACTGCTACAATTAAAATAAGCAAAAAAAAAAATCCAGGCAGACATTTGAATCTTAGGTCCTTAAACATCTCGCAAATTACCACACAAACAAACTTGGTAGGACATGGCTGTCCTCCGAGACAGACAAGCAGAGCATTACATATAACACAGTGATATATATAAAAAATTGCACTGTATTATATTGATGTTAGCGGTTGTAAAGTGACAGAATTTCTCTTTCTGCCTCTCTTCAGACGCAGTCTGACTTGTCGTGGGTGGAGGAGTGGCTGAGGTTCCACATCGCACGAGTCCGAGACATCGAGCTGCTAACGGGACTCAGCTTCTACCATGACAGGATATCGGTGGAAGAAACGATACAGCTCAAAACATTTCTGCACACTGTTTAAACTCAGAGACTATGGCTGAAATAATCAAATACAGCCATCGGTGGGGCATACAGCAATCTTTTTTTGGATGCACCATAAACAGTGGATAAAAGTTCTTATTTCACACCAAAATATTTCTAACTTGAAGGGACATTCATTTCATTAGTGATATAATCATTTTTAAGACCAGTCTTCCTCTAATTTAGGCACAAATCTATGCAGTGAATCTCGATTTAAAGAATAAACATTTTTGATCTTCCTCAGACTTTTTGGAAAAAATAAAATCACTTTTTGTCTGTGAAATATCAGAAATAAATTACCATATTGGATAAAATTAAAGAAATTATGCCATACATTAAGAGGTCTATCCATCCAAGTTTTGTTCCTGCCTGTTTTTTTATTTGTATGGTTTTGCACCAGTACTACGTTTAGCATTTCATCATTTTTTTAAAAAGATTTATTCTATTTTTAGTTTGTGTATGTTGGTCATGCAGGTATGGATTGTTTGCCTTTGCACAGGCAGAAGATTTATCCGCAGAAACAAAATTGTTGTGCTTTTATTTTATAAAAGCCCAATGAGTGTGTGAAAGAAAATGGAAGAAGGTACATTGTTGATACACCTTTAAATTAAAAACTTTCTAGCAGTCAATTAACTGTTGTATTTTTCATAATGAAATAACTAAAAAACTATAATTCGCATTTATCCTTTTATTGCCCCTTCTTCCATTTTCCACACAAAGAGAAAAAGTAATTTATGACTAAGATAATTTTAATTGTATGTATGTATTTGCAATCTCCAGTTTGAGCACTAGATGTCACTAAATCCCCAATCAGAAATTGTACAATAAATACTGACGAGTTTAATCATATTTTATGTTCAGTAATTTGCTGATTTAGAATTAAAAATGAATCCCTGAAGTGAAACACATTATATTGATTAATTACACTGAAAATAATGTACACAAGCCTCTATTTCTGTTGATTATGATGATTTTCTGTATACAGCAAATGAAAACACATTTAAATTAAAATGTCAGTTCAGACCAATAAAAAACATTTTCTGTGTAGAAAATAAAATATAATGTTCAATGTCTGTTTAAATGCTACTTTAATCTGCCAGACAAGAGCCTCGTCAGAATGAGTTTGAGTTTAGATATCAGTGATTTTGTTCCCTATCTGTTCTTGAATGTCTTTCGTTCAGGGCATTATGTGTTGCTATTTGAGAGCTTTCAGCCTACTTCATGCTGCCAGACCAGTTTTATTGAAGTGATTTTTTTGATTTTGGCAGTAATGTGTGAGTGCATGGATGTGTAGCTTTTCCCCTGTCCTCTCCAATCAGACTGGATCAAACCACCATCACTCTACCTCCTGTTTCTCTTTCATTTTATGTTGTTATTTCTGTCTGTGCCCAGATGGCTTCTTTATCATTCATGTATGAGTGTTTTGTACAAATGTGTGTACATGTGGATATAAATTTGGAATCACCACACTGTAATTTCCAACGTATTGATTTTGCATCAAGTTCCTCAAAGGGTACATGATGTGTTTCTTTTCAGTATTATCAGAAACATAGATATAAACAAATACTTTGATTTTATATAAAACATCCTATACCAAACTTACTATTTGGGTTTTTTTTTTTTTTATATTCAATCAGAATCAGTGCTGATGCAAAAAGTAATTTTACGTGATCTCACGTCAACAGAAGAGGGAAATTTTCAGCCAAAACAAAGAGATAATATAAAACCCAAGCAGCTGCTGCATTGTAAAACTCCCCCAGCTTGCAACACTCTGCATGAACACATAAAGGAAGGAAGCAGAGCTGCACACATTTCCTCTGCTGTGTATAAAAATCTGCTGCTTCCTCAGGCTGACCGCTCTATCAGTGCTGTTCAAACTGAAGGTAAGACTTTGCAGCTCTCTGCTCAGCACCTCTCAGCTCTGCAGAAACCTAACTCTCAGACCACAAACCGAGCCTCTGTCTTTTCTCCTTATTGGCGTCAGAAAGAGTTCAGTTCTCATGACTTTTGTCTGACATGCTTGGTTAACATGTTGCAGCTCATCACGTTCTGGAGTCAGCTGTTCTTAGAACATTCTGTACAGTTGAAAGATGTATTTTTAGAAATGTTCATGTAAGAAGGAACTATGGAGGCAACATTCCTAAATGCAGTTTATTCTGTAAAACAATTACACTCCTTACTTTAAATGACTTCATTTAAAGGTGTCTTTTTTTCCACAATTTAAAGCTGTGTAACTTTTACAAAAATATGTTTTTATGTATTTGTTGAAACTATAATTATGTTCTGACAGCATAATATGAAGCAGATAATCTGTGTAAAGCTCAATCTCCTCCCAGGGCGACTATTGTCATCTGGAGCATTGCTTCTGATCAAAAACAACCAATCAGAGGATGGAGGAAGCTCTTAGTGCTGTCAATCATACCTGTGTATGCTTTGCCAAATGTGCTAATGGTGGAGAAAAATATTACCATTCCACAAAAACTATTCATGCTAACTAGCCTTTTCGTTAACGGGAGGCTGTGTGGTGATGAACTAGCTGTACTGTAGCAGAGAGAAAGAGGGAGGATATGAGAAGCATGTACACAAGGGTGATTAACAACGCTAAGACGGTATTCTTGGTACTCTGCTGGAGTGATTTATTTCTGCAGATGATAATCAGACTATAGGAAGAAAACAAAGAAAGTTGATTTTTTTATTATCTGTTAACTTAAAAATATTTTTTTTTATAAAAGCTTCACACAGCAGCTTCAAAAACATTGATTGTTTTCTAAACCCGTCTTCTGTGAGCTCAGAGGACCTTTTGGTTTCTCATCTGAATTTGCTTGCAGCTGTGAGTTTGCATGCAGTTCCTCCCTCAGATCTTCCAGGAAACTCTTCTGCGACCGTTGAACACGTCACCTATATTTGGTATGGTTATTCTCACGCTACACTGGAGCCATAATTAGGTGTCTTTACTGTCACTGATGTGGTCTCCTCATACGGTCACACCATCCCCCTCTCAGTTCTCAAATTGGAACTGTGTCTCTGCTAAACCACGTAGAACCTTATTCATCTATCTCCTCTGCATAGGAGGGCTGCGTGAGAAATGAGTTTGTTTTACTGTCAGGCCTGGAATGACTGTTGCCCCAGTGCCTGAGCTGCTGTGACCCTCGCTCATCAATCGTGTCTAATTAAAACCAACACTGATTTTTTTTTTCCCCCTGCAGGCTTCCTGGCAGCTCTGGTTAGTACAAGTGAAGAGTCTTATCTGCTAACACAGGCTGACACTGAGCTATTCAACAGGCCACTTCTGCACCACTCAATAGCTTTGACGCTGCTTCCTTGGAAGTGATGACCTCAAGCACAGATTTTCCATTTTAGGGACTACATTAATTGTGAGTAAGATATCCAATTAATTTAAGTTTATCCTTTATAGTCTTGTAGATATGAGTCTCCGTCAACTATCAGATACAGTTTTCACTGTCTGGCAGTAATTAGACATCTTTTTTCTCTTACCTCAGTCAGATTTGCCACATATCTCTGTTCTCTAATGAAAATATTTTTATTACTTTCTTCAAATTCACATATAATGGTTTCATGCCTTTATAAGACTAAATCAAAACATTTCATTTATAGGAGGTAAATTTGTGGATGTATTTTAAAGAGGACGGATTGCACAAAATTCCCTTTTTGTGTGTTTTTATGCTTCCATTTGGGTCTCCATTTCTTCTAAAAAAACACAATCCAAGTCCTTAAAAAAATCATTCAGATATTTTCTGACACCCAGTTAATGTTTTTGGGTGGTTGAAAAATGAGAAGTTTCAAAAGACCTCCTAATTATTAAGGAGGTTTTTTTGCGGCATTTTGCACTGCACTATTACCTAGCGACCCCAGCTCAGACTCGTTACCTCGCAACCCAAGCTGAACTGCTGGACATTTGGTCTGCTGGGTTTACCACTGTCAAGACAAGTGTTTTGTTGTTTCTTGCCACACAAAAAACCACTTGCTACATTTTTGTTTGTTGCGCAGGAGGCTCCACTTCTGCTTTCCAAAGATGTACGGATGTGTAATTGTGCAGCCATTGCCTTAAGCTTGTGGAAGAACACCAAAATATGGTTTATGTAAACGTATGACTTCAATGAAAGTAAAAAAAAAGCTACTCAGGTGAATCCGAAATGGGCAAACAAAGAAAAAGCTTATTCTCAATTAGTGTCAGAAAGTGAAACAGTTGCATTGTGTAAAGAAATATCTGCTTTCAGTTGCAGGTGAATATAAATATCTTCATGGTTTAAAGGCTTCCTCTCCACAAAGCATATGCGTAGTTCTCTCTGCAATTCTCGATTAATTCAGGTCTGGAGACTTGATAATCCTTCCTGACAACATTGACCATATGAGTCAAATTATTGTCCTGTTAAAAGGTCTACTGCTGCCTAAAGCCAAAAGTTTCCAAAGACAGATTTTTTTTCCTCCAGAGTCAGACTGAGAATGTGTTTCAAACACAAAGCGAGGCAGCGTGAATCTTAGCAGCTTTGGTATCAACTTGCCAGCAGAAATTTCTGTGAATCATGAATGCATTTGGTTTTCTAGATGGTGGAGTGATTGTGTGTTTTCCCTTTTAACTAAGTGAATTAAGGAAAAACAACAAAATAAATAACAGTGTTGCCTCCTTAGCAGTATGAGATTTTAATTCTGAATTGGATTTGTTGGAAAAGTTCAACATTGAAGTATGCAGACAGGAACATAGTCATGTACTAAATGCTTTACTATGAAAGCTTTTCTGCCAGCCTGGAATACAGAAAAGGACACCAATAAATCTGGTTTCAGGAAGCTTGATAAACTCAACGTATCCGTTTTATTTTTAGTAGGTTTGACGTCTGTCAAACAGCTTTGTAATTTCCCCAGGCATGAAAACTTGACTGTCACGGTTTCAGTGTTATGAGGCGTTTCATTTTGTGTCGTCTTCCTGTCCTGATTTAAGTGATTTGGCATCTCACAAGCAAGGACCACGCCTCAAAGATATACTATTGAGGAAGGGATGAGGAATGAGGGATGAAGGGCTAAATGTCTATACGTATATATTTTGTGCGTGTTTTTCTTGCAAGTGCACAACTGGCTAGGATCTTTAAAATATTACAGTTTATTTCTCCTTTTTTAAGAAGTTTGCTTCCTTCTGTCTTCCACAGTTATTTGTGTTTTTCACAGTGAAGCTGAAACTCTTACAGAAAAGCATGATAAATTATCTGAATGGGTTTTCTGTAGCAGAAGAGAAACTAGGCCACTGGAGCACGTCAGTCATAAATAATGCAAGTCCTGGCATTTGGTTTTTGTTTTGCAGCCATCATTGAAGCACCACTGCACTTCCTGCAGCTCAGAGAGAAGAGGTTTAACATCTGAGGGTGAGAGCGATTCTGACACAGGACTTTGTCTGAAGGACAAAATAAAATACAAAAGAGGAAGTTCATTTTCTCTGGAACCTTAAAATAAGTTTTACAGTCTGAAGTTACTGTGAAGAGAAGAACATCACCAATGCATTTCCAGCTTCTTTTTTTTTGGATAGAATTATGTAATTTAGTGTCTGAGGCAGGAATTGAGTCTTGATGACATCACAGTCGGAAGAAAGAAAAGATGGGCTGCAATCACACTGACCTTTTCTATCTCTGTGTTTAATCTGTTTTTTTTTTTTTTTTTTTTTTTTTGCTAAAGAGGCAAAAGAGGAGGTCTGGGGGGAGGATCTACTGAGAGGGGGAGGTTAAAAGAGAAGAGAGAGAGGAGGTGGAGTCTTAACAGAGGAGAGCAGAGCGGTGCGCTGTCAGAGAGGACAGAAGCGGATACATCTGAGCAGAAACTGTCGCCTTATAAAGATGGATTTAAGTTTCCTCCAAGTTTTGGAGAGAGAACGCGTCCTGGAGGTTCTTCACAGAGACAAACATCTGCGGAAGATTGAAGAGGAGAGGATCAGGTGAGTAGTTTCGTGCCAACATGAAGGTTTTTCTGCTTCTCAGTAACGCAGGATGTCAGAACTGACAGCTCGGATGGATGTCTTAAACAGAAACAGTTTCGTGTAAATATGACGTATGTGGTTTGTAAAAAAATGTTAACAAAAAAAACCAACCAGTTGACTGACTCTACAGCTCAGTGAGCTGTAGAGTCAGTCTGCTTTATGTGCAAATACAGATAATTTCTCACAAAGTATTCAAACATTACAGTCACAAACTCACATGTTTTATTGCGTTTCAAAGGAGGTAAAACTCCTTCAACTTTGTTGTTTTTGCACTTTATTATTTATGCAAAATATCACGCTCAGTGTACGAAACACGTGGACATACATTTTCACATTTTGCTGTAAGGTCCGGACTTCGACTGGGCCACTCCGAGACGACTGACTGTATTGTTTGTAGTTCTTCCATCTTCCTTCCCCAATCCTAAGGAAGAACAGCATCTCCACAGATGCTGCTGATATACAAACTGCAGCTAAAAGAGAGAGGCTATGAGGCAAGGCATTAAAGATCCGTGGTTTTGTCCTTTCCTACTTCAGGAAGATGAAGTGCGACCTGCAGGACCTGCGGAGGAAGGGCGCAAAGAGCTACACCCGGCAGTACGGGGAGAGGACCTGCGCCCGGTGCCAGAGGCCCCTGGGGAAGTTCTGGAACACCGGCGCCGTGTGCCGCGGCTGCAGCCACCGCATCTGCAGCAGGTGCCGTGTGGGGGTTGCAGACTGGAAGTGCACCGTGTGCCATGCTTACAGGTGAGTGATGCAGCCGTGCAGATGAACAGCGAGTCACATGAAGGAAGGAATGAGATGTGTGAACCGCCACTTGCACATAAAGCTGGTTGGTTATATAATTGACTTCCACTTTGAATCTGTTAAAACCACTGTGCAGGCTGTAAAGCAGCCATAGGTCTCTATTGTGAGCAAACTGTGATAAAAGTGAAATGTTTCCCATTTTAATAGAAAGATTTGGATTTTGAATAGAAAGTTCTTGCTCCAGAAGCGCTTTCTGAGGGTTTTTTTTCCTTCTTCTTCAATATCATATTTCCAATTTTGTCCTTTTGTACTTCATTGCATAGTTTGGAAAATAAAAAGCAGGCAGTCTCACACATCCTCCACCAAACATAACGGTGGGATGAAGTGCTGTTACAGACACTAAAGTTTCTTTTACACCTAACCCACTTGGAAAGTTTTTACTCTAACATCAGTCTTCTTGGCTCTAACAACTGGCTCGTATTTATAGAGCATGAAGTGTTTGTTGGTGAGCCCACAATGCCACTCTGTACCAAAGTTTTCTTACAATAAGCTAAAACACAAAATCTTATGAAATATTGTTGTTTAACTTCCAGTGCAAATAATCTAAAGTATTTCATGGGAAAAATATCTTGTTATAAGTGAATAATTTACCACCAAACCCAGTTCTACTTATCAATATTAATGTATGATTTTCTTAAAACAAGCTCCTACAGTATGTCTTGGGTAAAAAGTTGCTTGTAAGTTATTTTTCTCCTCTTTCAAGTGTACAAAGATGTTTGCACCAGAAACTGGACCAAAAATACTTGCTAGGATTTTTTATTTAGTTTTGCACTGCATGATTTAGGGTGAAATAATAAGCTTGAGTTCAATCTACTTCGATGGACGTGATTGAAAAGAAAACAAATTGATAACACAATAATTTCCGCACTTTCTTTTAGAGAAAGTTTAAGTCTTATGATTGTCTCCTTTCATCAGGGAAGTGAAGATCAGATCAGGAGAATGGTTTCTGGAAGAAAGGGCAAAGAAATTTTCTGCCACCAAAGGTTTGTTTGAACTCAGACTGCATGAATTTAAACCACTTAAGTTTTTTATTGCATGACTATAAACCTGCACTATTTCACACTTTCACAGAGAAATATGAGACAGTGGGAGAGAAACTACTAAACCTCTACAGTGTGCAGAGGTAGGATTTCCCTCTTTGTTTTTACTCGTTCTCTTATTAGTTCCTTCTGCATTTTCTCTGATTATTTCCTGAATGTTGCAGACACATAGCCGTGGTGCCTCCAACTCCTCCGCCTCACATGGAACAGGATTTTAGAGGCAGATTTAGGGTAAAGCACTGAAATATTCCAACTTTATATAGCAGTGAAAACAGCTGAACTGACTGTTTTTGTGTTTTGATCTGCAGGAACTGAAGAATTCAAAGGCTTTTACACAATCTATGGAGGATATCATGGTTTGCTTCAGGAGTCACATTAGAAGTAAGTTCTTTCTTCTCACGTTGAAAGCTGAACTCATACCCCCTGGAACATTTTATAGATATATAACCGCCACGTTTTAGTGAGATTTCATGTGATAAGCCAACAAGAAAAAAAAATAGCAAGTACGTTTTGAAATAAAAGGAGAACAAAAAAAGCTATTTTCTTCACTTCATTTGTTTTTCAAATAAAAATCGAGAACGTTTCTTTAAGCATTTCTATGCAGTTCCCCTCAATTCATACTTCGTAGGACCAACTCTCTCTGCTATAAAGTCTGTAAGGCCTATACATTTTGTTCATCTAGAGACTTTTGCAAAACATAGTCTGCTTTGCAAAATAGCCCAATCTGCATCAGGTTGGATGAATATTGACTGTGAAAAACCAGTTATAAATCTTCCCACAACCTCAAAACCCACTATTGTAACTCTGGTTGTGTGATTATGGTTGTTGTCTGAGAAGATAGACATCCCTCCAAGCTATAATCTTTTGTAACCTCTAGCTAGTTTTTTTTTTTTCCTAGGATTTCCCTGTGTTTAGCTCCAGTCAGCTTCCTAGTTTATATTTACAAATATATATAATTTGATGAATCCACTTTTATAGGCAGCTTCAAATTTACTCACATACAGTTTAACGCAAAGCAGTCAATTTCTAATGCCAAAAGATTATTCAATCTGAGGAAGCCAAGTCCATTTCTTCAAGTCATGAACTATATGAGGAAATATGTGTCAGTGGATTGCTCAAAGTTTTCCCACCATGTTTTGTGAGAATTGGTTTTAGGGTTTTGTGTAAGATGGTGTTCTGCAAAAAAAAAGCTGAAATCTTGTCATTTTCCTCACACGATATGCAGTAGAACGCGACAAGGACTAATTCTTCGGAGATGTTTTGATCTTGTTTGTTCATTTGTTCATTAGATGAACAGCTGTTTTCATACTGAGATCGTACAATATCAGCATAAATATCGTATTTACTAAGCAAAAATTGAAGTACTAGAGCAAATACATGCCACTAGTTTCAGTTGTCAATGTGTAAATTTGTCCATTATATTCCATTTCACGATTACAAACTTACTTGCCTTGGTTTATCACAAACAAATCCACTTTTAAGTTTGTTGTTTATAACGTAACAAAATGGTATGTTTGCTTTTACAAGCGAGTCCCTCAACTTGGCTCCAGAAACGTGATTTCCTTTAGATGTTATATCAATAAGCCCTCATCTGTCCCCCAGGATGCTCAATATACGCACAGTCATAACCACAGAGGAAATACGCTCGAACTCATACGACTTAGAAAAAAAAAATCCCCTTGATGTTTTATGAGTATTGCATCAGCAGAAACAGAAACACTACAGATATAAAGATATCAATACCCGGAGAGCCTTTTAAGGCTATCCGGGCCAAAGCTTTCAGGTCAGCAGCTACTTGGTTATCTATCTATTTGTAGTGTGCAACTTTACTTTTTCATTGCAGAATTTTCCAATTCTCAACATGATGTAAGAGGAGACTTGCTGACAGTTGACCCAAACCAAAAGGGGACGTGTTTTCGCTACAGCACCCAAAAGAGTCTGTCAGACACGGACATCAGCAAATCTTGCTCCGTAAGTCAATCATAGCTGCTAAACGTTATTTGTTTATCTGTGTGTTAAAAAAAGAAAAAAAACAAACTGTTTTTGTTTCGTTTTGTTTTCCAGCTCTCTAAACGGGAAAGTCTTCCAAACTTGTTCAAGAAAAGCAAAGACAGCGACCACGAAGGTTCATCTACCGGTGCAGAGGAAGAAACCTCGTTTAGCTCAGAGCACTCTTTCAATCACAGAGTGAGTGATCAAAGATAACCAAACATCCTCAAGCAACATCCTCTAGTTAAAGAATCAGAAGACGGATTGTGATCTGTTGCAGCTCTTCACACTTCACCTTTCTTTCCTCTGAGACATAAAATGAAGAGAAATTGTTTTTATTGATCTCTCAGGGCAGCATCAGCAGCATCGGCACCGAGTGTGGCGTCTTTGAGGGCATCCTGGTAACCGGGGAGATGGAGCTCGCTGTGGCCTACAACAGCAGCAGCTCCTGTCTGGAAATCACAGTGGGCGCCTGCAGAAACCTGGCGTACGGAAACAGCAAGAAGAAGAAGAGTCACCCGTAAGAAAAGCCTCATGACCGAATGTTTCCAACGCCTCCGCCGGAGCCTCATCATCCTGTGTTTATTCCCGTCCACAGATACGTGAAGCTCTACCTGCTGCCGGACAAGAGCAGTAAACTGAAGACAGCGGTGAAGAAAAACACAACCAACCCTGTTTATAATGAGGTTTTTAAGGTAATAAGATACAATATTATCATTATGAAGTCATTTTTCAGCAATCGCTATGAGCGAAAAAGCAAAAGCAATTTGCGATCTAATTATGACCCTTCATATATTTATTACTTAGTTAATTGACATTAATAACAGCTAACTGATTGTTATATTTAAGGTTAAAAGTCTTTAAGGGTCATGAATAATCCATAAGGAGCATAAAATACTTGTTGATAGATAGTGCACTTCTTTTCTATTGTGAGTTAAAAATATTTTACCGGTTTTCTTACAGTATAATATAGAGCGCCACCAGCTGTTTGGAAAGAGACTGCAGGCAACTGTTTGGCATTCAGGGCCCCTGAAAAGGAAAGTGTTTCTGGGTGAGGTGCTGCTTCCTCTGGACGGCTGGAGACAGGAGAACAGCACCTTCCAGGGCCTCTACTGGTACCCGCTGTGTCCAAAGGTACGGGGGCGTTTTAGCTTCAAACCGGGACAGGCACTGAAACGTTGTCCAGTATTTATGATTTAATATGTTCTATGGCTGCATAAAGTTTGAACAAAATCTCTTCACGAAATGTTTTAATTAGTTTGAATTTTTTGAGGAATCAAACATATACAGAAACATAAACTAATATTTGGTTAAATGTCCCTCAGCAAATTGCACCTCTGCTACATCTTTTTGTAGTAGCAGCAGTTAATTAAATTCTGTTTTATTAACATTTGTTCTTGTCAGAAATTGTGGCATCAGAGTAACATAACATTGAGTTGCTGTCTTGTTTCAACATTTAGTAGCAACTTGCAGACTGTATGAGGTCTTTGATCAGCATGTTTGCTGGAGCTGTGAAGGATTTTTCTCTTGAAGTTAATCCTGATGTTTTTCTGTTTTTATCAGACTGAGACTGGCTCAGCAGTCTACAATGGTCACTGAACCTCCTACCATCCAGGTGAGTTTATCTGTCTTACTTTTAGTGGAAACCTTATTTCCTTTTTTAAATATGTGTACACTTAACCTGCAAAAAGATTAGATTTTATGATACTTTTCCTGTCTGCACTTCAAATGAAACACCATACTGTAAAGATTAGATGTGGTAGTAATGAGGTTTGGTGTGCTACGTGAGCGGGCCAACGCTTTGCACACATCAATAAAATAATAATAATTCACAATACTCCATACCGTTTAAAAAGTAGAGTAAAAAAAAAAAAAACATCGGGACACCTGATCTCTCAGTTCTCTGTTTTGGCCACTAGATGTCAGTAAACAGCCTCATTTGTGAGAACTGTGTGGTCAGGTTCATGTCCCACCAGGCAACGATCGACTAACAGGCCTTATCAGTGGCGTCAGACTCCCTCCCCATAATGCAAACATTGCTCTGAAGACCCACGTCACAGTGTGTAAATAATCTGTGTGTGTGTGTGTGTGTGTGTGTGTGTGTGTGTGTGTGTGTGTGTGTGTGTGTGTGCTCTTCAAAGTTTGCAGGCTGGTGGGGTGTGTTCTGTGTGTTCTGGTGTGAATTCAAGAGGAGGGATTTAATAATAGGTGGATTCATGTGTTTCTGTTGTTAATCTGTTTAGGGGAAGACAAAGTTCACCTGGAGGAGGACTGGATGCACTCTAAAGACAGCAGAGATCTGTTTTCAAACGTCTGTAGTAACACTTTACGTTAAACAAATCAAAATACTATGTTATGGAAATCTAGTTTTTCCCCTGGAAAAACATTTATAAAAGTCAGTGCATTAAGTCTACTCATAAATTACATACATGATCTTTCTCTGTTAGCTTGTCTAAAGTTTGCAAAGGCTTTAATACCAATTTGGACCAAACCGGTCAATTAATTACAGCTGGAAGTGAGCCTGAAAGGATTTCAGACAAATTCGAATTAATCTTTCGACAATGCATATTTAACAAGAACAAAAGGTTCTTCAGTTAGATAATCTGCAAAATATAAGATAATATTAACTGTATTTTGGAAATTCAGTTGTGTGCATTGTTTTTACAAGATTTAATTTATGATTAAATCTGCTATCTAAAATTAACATTTTAATCTAAAAATGTTTTGCTTGTTAAGATTATGAATGACACCTAGAATATTTCAACCTCTAATCATAAATAACTTGTTTTTAAATGGTAAATTTTGAGTCTCTTTGTTTATGTATGCAAAATTATTCATTATGTTAATATTTTCCTTTTGGTAGCTCTCCAAAAGGAAGGAAAACTCTTTACTATTTGAATTCAGCATCCTTTTTGCAAACATGTTTCTGTTGTTATCTTCAAAATCAACAATCAAATAGAACAAAAACAGAACTGGTACTTTTGCCTAAGGGCAAATTGCATGTTAAAAAAAGTAGTGAATAAGATTTATTCATAAATTACTTTTACAGTAGAACTTTTAAATGATAGTTAATTTGTTTTTAATTCATAAGTCATGCCATAAAAAAAATGGACTCGTTTTGAATCACCAAAAATATTTAGTGCTTATAAACGTAGCAGTTTAAAGTAAAGTGCTGCTGCCTTTCAGATTCAGATCCCTCATTAATCTTTAGTTCTTCTACATGACGATTTTGAACTGCATCTCAAACAAGACAATCTGAAAGCACTGACATGTCTGACCAACGTAACCTGGAGCTCCAGCCGCCGCGTCGCAGGAAGTGGTTTCTTCAGCAGGACGAGTGGGCCCAAAATGTTGGCTCTTCAGCACTTCATCCTGCACAAAGATGCCTTTCTTGTTTCGGAGCATGCGAGAGACTTCCTCTGGTTTCAAGCCTTTGGCATGCTGATGCTCTGGAAGGAGAGCTGCAGTCGATGACACAGTGTTTTTCATGAGTCGCAATGGCAACTGGAAAACTGCCTGACTTCACTCGACTCCTGCAAAGAAACAGAAAACCTGGCGATAATCAACATCACTCAGGCTAAGTTTTATTATTATTGTATTATTGAAACTACTAGGCACTTTATTCTTCATGTTCATTTTGTGACAACTATCTTTTATTCATAAGGCTTTTAATTTATGTTGCTATTTGTTTATTATTATGTATTTATTTCTAACTGTATGACAACCTGTTTACTGATGCACTGCAGTGGTATGACGACAATCATACTGCTACTGGGATAAAAACCAAGTCAGAAAACTTCTCTTCTTGTAAAGAAGTTTTGACCTACATGCCAATAAAAGTGTTAAAATACAAAAATAATCACATAAATCCAACATTTTATTTTTGTTGTCTTTTTTCTTACAATGACTTATAAAAGTGCTGCAGTTAAAGCTTTGTTTTATTTTGGGGGGAATTATGTAATTTATTGCATTATATTGCATTTAATGCCATTTTAATTTCTTCAAGTGTTCTGATTGCTTATGAACTCAAAAAAAAAATTTTTTTTAGGTATTTAGAACATCCAAATGATCACTTTTGAATGCTGATTAAATGAAAAAATTGTTTAATATCAATCACAACCCAACATCCAGTGTAAGAGATATTTGATAAAATCTAAATCAATAAGGTTTATAAATAAAAATTGTTGCAATATGTCTTAACTTTAACACAAAGCTGAAGAAAAAAAAATCTAAATACAAAAATGTTTTTCTTGGTGTTTCAACTTAAATCATTCAATGTCTTCCACTTTGTTTTAATTTTAATCGCTTTGTGTACGGCAACAAATCTTATTTAAAAGAAAGAAAACATTTGAGTAGCAAAAAGCATAAAATACAAATAAAATCCACAAGGCTCCAGTGACGTCCGGGAACACCCTGCTGTGGAAGTGACCTTGCAGATAATGTTTGCTTTTTATTCTCTGTGGAGCAAAATGCAAATTACTGGAGATTCTCTCCAACATTTTCCTCTCTGCCCCACAGGCATGCTCGTTTCAAAAAGACGTGATCCTGCAATAAACACACAGAGCTGACAAATCAAATCTTTATTGGCAATATGTTGAAACCTCATAATAAAATCCTGGTTATATACAAATCGCAGCATAGCCGAGCGTTTCTGCATGAAGGTTTTAGTAAATGCTACTTTAGTCCAAGAGTTTGGTGAGAAATCCAACTTTAAAAACAAACCTCCACATGTCATTGTAACTGTGTGAGTGACCGGACAGACAGGCCACTTTAGAGGGTAAAAACCCTCAACATGTGCTGCTTATATTGTAACAATGTGACATTGAACAAACTGATAGAAATACAAACAAAGCTTTGTAATAGTCAAGACGTTGCTCTGAATGATCTGCACAACTAATAAAAGTAATTGGAAGAAAGTTCATCTAAATTTATTTTGTCTGTATGCAACTGGAGGTCTCCTACAATAAAAATTAATAATTTACAATAAATCTCTTTAGTTAAGTGATCTAAGGGAAAACATATGGAACATAAGACTAGGCTGTTATTTGGGTCAATACATAAAACCTCTGAAAAATTTAAAGTTTTTCATATTAGTAGATAGCAAAAATATACAAACCAAGTCAAAATACCCTTTATGTCCCATATACAGTATAAATATCTAACTATGATTTTGTCTTTAGAGCAAAATAAACATAACTGGAAGTGTTCAAATATAATGGAAAATAAAGATCAATTTTCCTGCGTATACTGTCTCCCCCTTTCTGAGTGGTCGCTATCAAAAACGAGGCCTTTTCTGCCAACGCAACAATTTGATTACTAGGTGCATTATAACAAGATTCCCACTACTTCATTAAACCTCCAGTGAAAAACAATTATTTTGGTCCGACTTCATCAAAAAAGAGACAATATTCAAAACACTATAACAAGAGAAAGGACAAAAGATTTTGGCACTAAGGTTTTGCAGAGCGCAGCGTCCTCCCAGTCTTCTGCTGCTTAAGTTTAGTCAGCTACCAGCGCGTTAAACATGTCTTTGGGTGGGTGAGAAGGGGACATTTGTGTGTGTCTCAGCAGCAAATCAAGAGGAATAGTGACCATTCAGAAAGGGCGTGCACTTGAGCGGCGGCGGCGTCTTATAAGGCCTCAAACTCGTCGATCCTCTGCTTGGTGTTGCCCTGCCGGATCTGTCGCAAGGTCTTGTATTTGTCTCGGCCGGCGCGCACGTTCTCGCTGTGGAGGAGATCGTTCTGGGTGTTCTTGGACTCGTCACGGGCCTGAGCCAGCTCTGATGTCAGGGTCTAACGAGAGGAGGAAGAAATGTGAGAAAAATACGGAGCAAACTGCACTTAATAAACAGTTTTAGCACCACGTTCATTAGAAGAGCAGCAAATGCCAGTCAGACAGCAAGGAAGCGGTGAGTTTATCTACAGTCTGAGCCCGCTGGACAGAGCAAAAAGCACTTGGGGTGACTAAATAGCGTTCAAAGTGTAATTACTGGTCTGATTTCACTTTTTTTAATAACCTGGACCCTGATGAAGTGGTGGGCCGAGGTCAAATGGTCTCACCAACAGAAGGCTGGTTTTGGTTAAATTGGACTGGCAAAAAAATGTGATATAAAGTGTCTTTTTGTTAGACAGTATTAAACAAATAAACCATTTTAAATTGTCTCCTGAATATTGTATATAAAGGTTTAGTTAAAGCTGTGTATTTTATGTTAAAAGTGGCATTACATCAGACTATTAGACTTTTTTCACTCATGAATTAATATAGAGAACCATCATCAATAAGCCAGCTTCATAAATATTTTTTTAAGTCCATGGAAACGAACACTGCCATCGCATAAATCTGCATAAATTTCAATTTGTTGATTTTGTTCCCGTCTGATTTGTTGTGGGTTTTTTTCCTCACCTTGAGCTGCTTCTGGACGCGCTCGTTCTTCTCGACCTCAGTCAGACGCTCCTCCTCCTTGCGGTGGTCGTGGAAGTCGTCCATCGCCAGGTCGGTGCTGTTCGTGCTGTTGTTGTCCTCGCTGTCGCTGTCGCCATCCCGGTGGTTGTATGCGGGAGGAGGCGGTGGAGGCGGGGGCACCGTCAGCACCATGTGCAGCTCCTCCTTGGTCTTAATCAGGTCGTCTTGAGCCTCTACGGCCTGAACAACACAAAAAGGGTCAAATATGTCTTCATCGGTCGTCTTCTTTATTGATTTAAGCTGACTTGCAGTGCTGTGACGTTCTACATTTATCGACTGCGACAGAAAGTAGACAGCTACAGATTTCAGTTCAAACTCTCACCCTGTTCTGCCATGTGCGAGCCTCCTCCTCCTTGCGTCTTCTCGCCTCCTCCAGCAGTGCGATCTTGGCTGAGTGCTCTGCCAGCTCAGAAGCCTGAAAACAAGACAGATTTTATTAAAGACATGCAAATCAAATCCGAACAAGGATGGCGATGATTAGCAGCAGTTCAGAGCAAAATGAATGATTCCTGTCTTTAGATGAGACGGTTTTTTTGTACTATTGATTGAATATAGTCGGTTATTTGTATTTCACTTAAAATCTTAAACAGCTTCAATGCCTGTAAATTTAAATAACAGATTAGTCAGACCCCGTCTCCCTTTAACATTAAATCACCACCACAATTTTTAATGCGGTCGTCAATTTAAAAGCTGAGACAGAAGTGGAAAAGCACGCTGTGCACTGAAGAAGCGCCCTGACCCTGCAAGTGCTGTGACGCATTCCTTCAGACAAGCTGGGCTTGTTTTTTTTTTTTTTATGCAAAGTAAAATCAGCATTAAATAGTTTCTGTCGCTGCTCTTACTTTATCCCACTGTGAAGCAACAAGACGTGAGGTTTGTTACAGGAGAATTCAGTGAAGGTGAATCATCATCTGCTTTCAAAAATTCAAAAAGGTGACGAAACCTCCTAAATACTTCAGGTCCATTCAGTACGAGATCTGGAGCGAGTAGAGGAATGCTCACCTTGTTTTTCTGCTTGACCCTCCAAGCGTGTTTGATCTGGAGGGTCAGTCTTGTTCAAGAGGTTGTCAACAATTTACAGCTGTTCAAAGTTTGCTCCAGCTTCGCAAGTATTTCTTTAGAGAATGGTTTACTTGAACACTATCACAGGTGCACCATTAAACTCGGTCATGTTTCAAGGGTTGCATTCTGGGAAATGTTAGGAAAATGCCCCAAAGCCTAGTGTTGCATTGGGAACTAGACTTTGTTGGAGCTTGGAAGGCAAAGCAAAATTCTCCATTAAAGATTTATAAAACTGATTTTAATACACTGTACAAGCTTCTTTATTCACTTTAGCTACAAAGAAGCAATGTAGCAGGTAAAATGTTCACAAGCAACTGGGAAAAGTTCACTGGTCGGTCAATAGCGGATGCTCGCTTTACGGGCCACAAAATCATTCCTGTAAAATGAGATTTTATTTTGTCTATATCGAGTTGTTTTAGGACATCTAGTCACTTTAAATCCAAATGAGTTGCTACTGGGCTTGACCCCAACTCAACATTTACATTTACAGATGCGCGATTAGATAGTCACACATCTCTAAAAAGTAGAAGTGTTTCCTCCTGCACAAGCAGCAAGAATGCAGCAAGTGGTTTCTAAATGGTAAGTTAATAATAAAACGTTTATCTCTTCCAGCAGCCATTGTACAGTGAATACCGCGTAAAGCCAGATGGCTAAAAGTGCTGGAGCTCAGCTTGGGTTGCCAGGCGAGGGACAGTACCTGCTGATTTGTGATGTTACATTTGGAAGGTTTTCGAAATGGCTCATTTTCCAACGCATTAAAAAGCATTAATTTGTTGACAAAAAAACACCTCTGTGGTTTTCTTTAGAAGCAGTAAAGACTGCAAACTGATGTACAAAGAAGGTGCTAAAATATTGATTTTATCCCCTTTAAATCATAACGTGGCGTCATTGAAGCACTAACCAGCTGCTCCTGCGTCTTCAGCTGACTCTCAGCCTGGCGGGCCAGCTCTTCTTTAGCCAGCAGGGCAGCCTGACGTTCTGCCTCCAGACGCGCAGCCTCCTCCTCCGCTCTCCTCCGCTCCTGCTCCAGCATCATGGCTCTCTGAAGCTGGTCCTGCAAATCTAACAGGCAGAGGAGGGACAGCTTTATGCACTTGATCTCACATGCAGGAAGATTTTGGAGTAACTGGAGATTTCAAAGCAAAGGCTTACTTTCTTCAAGTTTTAATAAGTTACATTTTTAAAACCATTTAAAAGTTTTTTTTCACAATTATGGAAAACTACATTAACATAAGTTGTATTTGGCTTCCTTATTAAATAAATAAGTAGAATTTCTCAACTTAAGTTGGTATATTTCAACTTTGGCCAGTGACCACTACAAATTCTCATGTAACATTGTAAGCTTAACCATAGTCTTTGTATACTATTGAGATCCCTGGTTTTAAGCCACTTCTTATGAAATCTGCATTTTGTTGATTTTTCTTACAATAAATGTGACAGATACTTGACAAAGTAAAAAAAAAAAATATTAAAATTGCATCAACAGAAATTGGATAAGTGTCAGAAAAATAAATATGAACTAAAGATGTAAATTTAGGTGACAACATGTCATTTGAAAACATACTGTAACACTTAATTTAAAAGTTTTCCATTTTACTTATTTCCAGACACTAATCTTTACAAGCTGGAAACCTTAAATATGGCAACGTCAACATTTGTTGGAAACTATTTTCAGGTGCGGATCAATACACTTGAAAATAGGCAGCTTACAAGTTTTGCATAGTTACATAGTTTTCCTTTCTTTTTTGAACATCAGTAAAATATTAAACTGTGTCTTTGTTTTCCTCAACAGTGGAAGATAAAAGTTTATCAGAACATGTCTTAGCTCCTACTGGGACGTTTAATTTCCTCTCATATCAATACAGGTATATCCGTACCTTCATTACAGAATAGTAAACATTTAATCACGTCATGTTTAACAACACTATTTCCATTTCATCAGCATGGCTTCATCTTATGTTTGTTAAGTTTTGTGATTATTGTAAATATGGAAAAAGAAATACATCTTAAAATAGTCTGCATACATCGCAGTCTTAGTTGAATTAAAGTAATTTCATCTGAGGCTCTGGCTCAATATGCACGTTCACCAGTTTAATCCCAGGCTAATTGCAGTTTGTTTGCATAAACAAACCATTTCATACTCACATACAGAAATATTGCACATGGCTCCGTATCTCCTGATAGTTATGGATTTACAAAATAAATAAATAAAAAGTGCTTTGATTCAGGTCTGTCAGACCAGGGAAAAATCTAAAACCTGCAAGACACTGACCCGTCAGGATTGGACCCTGCTCTAGATAAACACTCGTTACAACCAGTGGATTTCCCACAGTAGGAAGTCAAATTATTCCCTGGTCTAGGCAAAAGTTGAAAGTAAATGCCATTAGTTTTTATGAGCTGCTTTATGAGCAGGAAACAAAAACAGGGAGTTTTTGATGAGTCTGTGCCAACAGCAAGAGAAGTGGGACATCTTCTCCCTCTCGTCAAACTGAGATAAAAACCAACGAATATCTTGTTCTTCATTGATTTGTGACAAAATAAACAGTTAAATCTAAAATGATTACATTTTATGAGTTAAACAAAATCAATAGGAACAACGGGTAAATCTGACAGCACTTTCTTCATGCTGTCATTTTACAAGAAGTTACCGACACAAACAGAAGAACCTGTTGGCCTGGTGTTTACAGTACACACATGCATAACTACAAGTGTACCGTCATTTCAACTATTTGCAGCAGACAGACTCTTTATATCCCGTCATAGATCCCATCAACCCTCTTCTATGAGAGGGTTGATGAGCCACAAACCCCTACAACTCACCTTTCTCTGCCTTTTTAGTCTTCTCCTCAAACTGGTAGAGCCTCATCATGAGTTCCTGCTTCTCCCGCTCCATCTGCTCCTTCTCCCTCTCGATGGCTTCCCTTTTCTTCTTCTCATTCTCCAAATGAGCCCTAGAGATAGAACAGAGAAGTCATAAAGCCAACCTGGTGGATGATGTGAATGCTAATAAATTACAACTTTTATTTACTAAAGGATATCAGAGTGACATGAGCCGATTATAAATGCACTTTTCCAAACATATTTTGTAAAATAATGTGAAAAATATATTTTTCATTCCACTTCACAGCTATAAACTGTTCTTTTCTGGTCCATCAAAAAGTAAGCTACACTGTTTGTCTTTAAATAAGCTTTGTGATGGTGACAAAATACATGAGCTAAAAATAGGCAACCATGCCTGCATATTTTGTGGCTACAAAGTCTAAAGAAATCCTCGTGCAAATAATATTTGCTTTGCACAAAGGTTGATGTTAGTTTACAGTCAAACACAGTTCCCATAAATTACAGTACTGTTTATGACAACATGCCAAAGTATGCAGAGAAACTGCTCCTAAAAAGCAGCATGATGTACTCTAATCAGGACTATGAACAGCAGGTTTATTTAGCTAATGTTCCATCTGTTTAATATTCACTTTTGGAATGAGGCATAAATTATAATTATATTATTTTGAAAATTGCTTTGGCTCAAAAGGCTGTGCCATCTGTCAATGGATGGTTCTAGAAAAACAGGTTTATATGCAAACTTTTAAATGTTTTGAGCACAAAAAATGTTGATCTGCTTCATGAACATCCTACATGATTAGTAGAAATTATTAGCTTCACAGTCAAATAATTTTGACAAATATTCAATGTTTCGGTTCCACTTTGTGAAAATATGTTCGGTGTCATTTTTTTTAAGAAAGAAAAATAATTTTTGGAGCAACATCAAGAAAAACCACCTTAAAAAGCTTAAAGCAGCAATGCCCGAAAAAGATCTTTACAATGCCCATTATGTCACAATTTATACACACCATAAATATTTGATATCAACACAAAACTTAATACTTCTGCTTTTCATGTCTGAATTATTTCAGCTCTCCATTTCTTCAGCAACAGCTGATTATCTCCTTGTATATTTTAAAGCAACTCTTCCTGAACTTTCTTCCAACATTTCCTAGAATATTATTGAATATTATTGTCTCATCTGTGTTGTGTTACATCATGATGTTTAAACAGCTGTGTGGACAGACACAGTCTCGGTCAAGCTGACAGCTGTGACTGAGACCAAGGTCATATGTCCTCAGTTCAGAAATCCTACATTTGGAGAGGAATTTAGTTTCCAATTTAGAGGTCAAAATGGTGTCAAGAGTTTTGTTGTGTTAAAGCATTTGACAGAAGCTAATGCTAATGCTACCAACTCTGCCTCTGATTTTGCCAAGTTTAGCCGCAGAATGGATTCAGTCAGAAAGTAGATTCCAAACTGTTCAACTTAAAATTAATACAAGAATCAGTGAAGATAATCCAATTCCATCCTACTAATGAACCTTAATTTACTTAAATACAAAGCTAATATTAAAAACTTTAATTCAACCAGAAATGATTCAGTTTTTAAACAATCCTGAAGTCAGATTGTTTTCAGGATTGAATAAAGTATTAATAAAGTATATTCCTTCATTCATTCATTCAAGCTCATCTGTACCTCTCCTTCTGTTTCATCTGCTTCTCCTCCATGGCCTGAGCCTTCATCTGCTGCACCTCGATTGTGTCGGGCTTACGACGACGCATGTAGAGGTCATGGTTGCCCATGCACAGGTGCAGGATGCTTTTGTTGATCCTCAGTCTCGGGGCATAAAACACAAAGTCCTGAAGGTTTGGGGAGGAAAGAAATTGAGAAAAATGTAATCAATCATATGTCGCTACTTAGATTATAACAAAAGTTCTTTAGATGAGGGAATAGTAAAAAGTGGTGTAAAAAATAGATTCTAATGTTGAAAAATTGAAGTAAAATGATGCCCATAACATTTTACTCACTGGAGATTTTTTGTCTATAGGCTTGATGACGAACTTCTTGTCATTGAAGGAAATGTTTCTGATCTCACTCCAGGGAAAGCCAATCTTTGGCGTCAACCTGAAGAAGAAATCAAATAAAATTATTGCAAATGAATAAATAAACAAAACAAGAACCTTCTGGATGCTTTCAAAAATTATTTTATTTTATTTGTTAACATGTCAGAAAAGTCAGACGATACTATTGTCCCATTTATAACAGTGTCCACCTTCTTGAAGTTTAAGTAGTTATTTTGGCATCTCACCATTACAGAGAAGTCGGTGAAAAATAATATGGTAAAATTTCTGATGGTATCCGTTTACGTTCTGTACAAGATTTGAGATGAGGAAATAGACTAGGAAGGTGTGTACAGTCAGTCAAGCTGGAATGGGCGTTTATTGTCTCATTTATCACTTTAGAAAAAATAAAATGAAATTAAATAACCAGAATTGTTGGAATTTTTCATAAGAGCATCAATAAATTGATGATGTGCCTTAACAGATGAAATTTCTTTGTGTAACCGTGTCCTATAGAAGAATATTTCACAGTTGTGTTTGTTAATGCATGCAGCTTAGTGGCTTAGAAAGAAAGACTGGAAAGAAGTAGAAAGTACTTTATTGCTACTTTTGTAACTATCACAATAAATAGCAATTTATTTTTAAGTTTATATCACCAAATTCCCATGAACCGGAAATTAAATGTTTCTGTCTTGATTATTAAAACTTCAGATGACTTATCTTTTGACAGCTTAAGCAGAAAAATATTTCTGCTAAACCATGATTCACCTCTGGGCCTCTTGGTATAAATTGACCATGATTTAAAAACTCACAGTCTAGATGAATCCAGTTGTTGAACATGGCCATGTTAAGTTGTTGTACCTCAAGAACAATAAATGGGACACACTGCTATCAGAAGGAACCATCAGGTCATCCATATGCAGAGATAAAACTAACAATTCTTTTAGTTACTTCCTGAAAATCAAATCAGTCCACAGCTACAAACCGCTTTGTCAGTCTAATCTCCCGGATCAGGGGATAAATCTGGGGTGTGGTGGCTCACTGTTCTGTTGTCCCAGACAAACTGAGCCGCTGCCCGTCTCGCGCCACACAATGCAGAGCGGCGCTGTCGACAGGGTCGAGGCGATAGCGCAGTGATCTGTTAAAGCAGCAGCTGCGCATGCAGCCAAACCTGCTGCCATGAAACTCCCTGAACTGGAATTTCACTCTATTGCAGACCCTGACTCATGCTTGTGGAATTGAGAAAACAATGTGCTGTTATCTGCTGCATATTTCCCATCGGAGCCGTGTGGTTTATTAGATGTGCTCTATCAATCGGTGTTATAGAGAAAAAAAAGATTTCATTAATCTGTTCTTCTGTACCAAACAGTAACATTCTTTAGATATACGAGTGTTTGAATGCAAATATGACTAATTTTAAGAATAATAAAATGCAGTTCAAGCAGAGGTGCTCGGTTAAAATAAACATGGCAAACTTCAGTATTTATTGACGGAATATAATTTCACACTGTGGAAATAAATGTAGAGTGAACCTTTTACAGGAGCAGGATGCCTTCTGTCACTTTAAGTGCAAAAACAAGGACAAAATCAGATTAAAATGGTAAAAATCTACCTGAGCACACATCTCTGGATGTATCCTGAACTTAAAGGCAGGACTTTTAACAAAACAACCAGTAAGCTTTTTTTACTTGAAGTTTTGTTTCCGTCATCTCCAGTTTGTTCTTCTTTACAGATCAAAGTTTCTGTTGCATTTAATCAATTTCAGTATTTTTGTTTGCAAACATTTGAATCAATCACATTTTATTTGTATAGCACATTTCAGCAGGAAGGCATTTCAAAGTGCTTTACATCATAAACACAAAAACACAAAGTCATGCAACATGTAATAAACAATACATTGTTACATATTACATTTCAAATACAATTCTAAACAGGTGTGTTTTTAGTTGAGATTTGAAGGAAGTCAGGGTTTCTGCTGTTTTACAGTTTTCTGAAAGTTTGTTCCAAATTTTTGGTGCATAGATGCTGAAAGCTGCATTTCCTCTCTTGGTTCTGGTTCTGGGGATGCAGAGCAGACCAGAACCAGAAGACCTGAGAGGTCTGGAAGGTTGATACAACAACAGCAGATCATTGATGTATTGTGGTGCTAAACCGTTCAGTGATTTGTAAACTAACAACTGTATTTTAAAGTCTATTCTTTGAGCTACAGGGAGCCAGTGGAGGGACTTTAAAACTGGTGTTATGTCTCTATCTTCCTGGTTTTAGTGAGAACGCGAGCAGCAGCATTCTGGATCAGCTGCAGCTATTTGATTGATTTATTGGACAGACCTGTGAAGACGCTGTTACAATAATCAATGCGACTAAAGATAAATGCATGGATGAGTTTCCATGCGTTGCCAGCAAGCCAAGCTGAGTACCACTGTGTTACAGATTTTATTTAAAACACAATCTTTAAATTGCAGACTCTTTGTACAGTTGGAAGATTTACAGACTTTGTTCCAAAATGAAAGTAAACAATTATTCAGCTGTTATTAAAATATTGATTAATGTTACTTAATGCCACTTGACAAAATGCAATTTCTGTTACTGGTTTTCAGAATTATTGACAAAATTATGCGTTTATGATGTTTTTTATGATTTAAAGCACTTTGAACTGCCTGGTTGCTGAAATGTGGTGAACAAATAAACTTGATTGATTAATGTTTTTCACTCCTGCTGCTTTTAGTCAGGAACAGCTTTATCTCAGCTAAACAGTCAGGCTTTAGGCAAGATGAGAAAAAGTAGTAATGAAAAGGGACCAAGTACAGGGGAAAAAAACTGCCTATAGAATGACACAGTTGTGCCCCTCCTCCACTTGTTGCTGATAATGCCGCCTTCCAAATAAAATAAAAAAAAATAATTAAAGTTTGTTCCTTAAAGCCGTTTGTTTTATTCTGTATATTTTTTTAAACAAAAATATCTTCAAAGAATGTTTAAGATCTTATCTTGGGATTCCACTAACTTTCCCATCCTTAAAGATGCTAAGATTTACAAATCATGAGAAATGTTTCAGACGCATTCAAAAGAACCACAAGAAATATGATATTAATCTCTGCAAGTTTTGATTTATAAAGCAGTGAATTTTTTTTTATTTACTTCAGGAACATAAGGAGTTAAACCTTTTGCTCCAGGCGGTATCTCAGTGAAGCCTTGGCTGCACTGTTGCATTGTGGGTCTGTTGCCCTCATTGGGAGAGACTGTGCTAGAGTTCAGCCTCACATTCTTAAGTGCCACAAAGCTTGAAAAACCAGTCAGCGTCGGCATAGTTTAGCAGAGGGCAGCGCAGAGGAGAGGCCTTTCTTTGCTGATCAGGACGAGACGTTCAGAAACACACACACGCAGGCGCACACACACACACACACACACACACACACACACACACACACACACACACGGTCCTGTTCCTGAATGCTTTACGGTCACAGTCACACTATGTTACAAACTGGATCTGCCTAAATACTTAGTAATTTAAAAAGACAAACAATTAAGCAACAAAGCCTCAATTAAAGTTTTTAGTTAGGTGGCTTACCCTTAACATTACCAAAATGTGCTGTGCTTGTTTCTTCCACCAGCAGCAGGCTGGCCTGAAAGCCACCAGAGGAGCCACTTTAATACAAGATGGACTCTAATCTAGAGCAGAGCTGCCAGCATTTCCAGCATAAGGTCAGTGACTGAAAGGCAAGTCACCCGGGACAAAGAGCTACTTTAACACAGTGCGCTTCACTCCACTAATCCAATAGAGGTCAGGATCTGTCTGAATTTAATTCACCAAATACACAGGGTGATAATCCCACACTCTGCACTGCTCTGTAAATAAGGTGCACATAAAAAGCAGCAATGTGGGATGTGAGCAGCAACCGACACATGCAGGCCCCAGAAACCCTTCAAAGATGAAAGAGGAATATTTTCATTTCTTGCTCTCGAACAAGAAAAGTAAGTGTTGACTGGTGTGAACCTGGTTCAGCAAGTTTATCTTAGTGTTAAGTGGGAAGAGCTTGGCCTGAGTCAGGCGAAAATCATGACAAACGCCTTTGTCTGAAACATCTGCAGCTTAAATCTGATTGAAACTATGACTGTGTGACTAATAAAGGCTCTAGTCGTCCACGACAATTAAATAATTGCACTAATGATAGCTGTGCTTATGGATTAACACATTCTTCCATACAGAATTAAAATAATAAATGTGAACACACCTAATAAAATCTAATTTAGAAAAGACCTTAGACAGGAAACATGTTTATTCCTCTGAAAATTTAAGATAAAGTAAGACAATTCAACCTGAAACTGAAAGTCTTCGAGGCTGATTATCACCACAAGTAAAATGTCTGTGCAAAGCAGCCAGAAAAGGCCCAAAAATGCAGCGATCGCTTCACACTCAACATTTTTAGTGTTTCTGATTTATTTTTGTATTAAGGAGACTTTACCATTTATGTTTACCTGTTTTTTTAATTCAGTACATGTGTGTTTAAGCAATTAACTCCTCCTCAGAAAAATTTTATTCACCAAATACAAAATCCTAATACAAAAGCACAAAAGGTTTTACAGTTGTTCAAAGCAAGAACAGATATAAAAGATTGCTTAAAAGAAAATTATTAGTGTGCCAAATGGTAATATGAGCTAAAGACAGTTTTGTATGACATTAAATCTGCTCCTCGCTCACAGCAGTATGATAAATGGTAATTTGTGTGTTATATTTTTTGAATTGGCAAAAAATATTTTGTAAAGTTTTGACCTGCTAATAAGAATTGTTGACCAGAAAACAACAATTAAAATTAATTAATTAAAACCAGAACTATATCAAAACTCTATTAAGAATTTGAAGAATAACAGACAAACAACCAGTTGACAATACAGTCCTAATTCAACATGAATAAATGAGATTCCAGTCGACATGCATCTGGCCAATAAGTTTAGCTTTGTACAAAAAAACTGCAGGTCAGAATATAAAGAAATCCCAAAGTATTTTTACTTTTGGAATAAGTGATCTTATAAATAACTAAATGCTTACTTGTCATCCTTCTCATAAATGTTGAGACCCAGTGCGTCCACTCCCAGCCTCAGCTCTGTTCCCTTCTTATTCTTAATGTCAAAGTAGTTCACTCCGTACATTTCCAGGTCCTGAGAAATCTTTAGGTACTCCATCATGGCGTCCTCCCTGCAAGAGAAACGATCGGCCCAATCAGCCACTGCATTTCTCACAGCAGGGTTTAAAATTATCAACACAAACCAAGTTTAATAACTCACCTCAATACCCCGGAGTGCTCCTCGTGCCACACCTGGATTCGTTCCTCCCACTGCTCTTTGGATAAATTGTGCTGCTCCATGACTCTAAACACACATAATTAAAACACTTATTTACATCTCTCAACAGCAATCACTAAGAAAATCCAATGAGTTGCTGTGCTGCATAACCAGAGCTACTGTTACACAACTGGATTGTAAAAAAACATTTTTTGGTAGTTACCCCGTTAATTGTATTTTTTTTTCTTCTTTGTAAAATTACCAGTTAAAGTGGAGGGCAAAAATAATGAGAAGAAAATGCCAAATACTCAAATCTAGAAGAAAAAAAATGTCACTCATAAAAAGTCTTTCTGCTTTCAAGTTTTCAAAGCTTATGCTCACATACCCAGAGTTGGCCAACACAAACGCACCATAGCGTCGCATATCTCACCTCTGAGGCAGCATGCGTTCATTGACCAGATATCCAGGCCGGTGGACTTCTTTGTTGTAGTCACCGAACCTGGCCTGGACTGCATAGGAGGCCAGCAGGACTGCCGTCTCTGGAGGACAGTAGATCTCGTCGCCAAGGATGCCCTCTTTTACTTGCAGGAAGAAGAGCTTCTGGGTGATTTCCTGAATCAGCTCCTCAGAAACGTCCTCAGGGAAGAACTTGGCCCGAAATTTGAATTGTAGTGGGTTGTCCTTCTTCACATCTTGAGATGACACCTGGAGGGGATTGAAAAGCTCAGTTAGCTGTAATAAACTAGAAGTGAGCCTGCTTGCAATCTGTGGAAAGACAGTGACCAAATTCTAACTTTCTGACCCTGTTGTAAACCTTTATGTACATAAACACATCATGATGACACACAGTGGTGGGAATGATTTCAATTAACAATCATAGAAGAATACCTGATGGTCTGCAGTACAGAAACCTAAAATCAACTAGAGCTGTTGCTCCAATGCAAGACATTTCATGACCTGCAGAAGCTGGAAATCAACTGAATCATTGTAGTATTGTGTATTTGATTCATCTAATCAATTAAGGAGTCGAGCTTCCCTTTCATTGGAAGCCTACCTTAACTGCCAGCTACAGTGAACATTTTCACAATGTCCTTCTTCCTCTAAATACAAAACAGGAACCAAGCACTTGATTGATGGCTTAAAACGAGGAATGTTCCAGTTTGAACTTTTTATTGTGACGATTAGCTGCAGCGCCCAGTTAGCACCCTGGGAACAGCTTCCTGCTGCTGACTGATGCAAACAACCCATTCTCCTTTTCTATGCGTCTCTCTGTGACCCTTGTTTTTGATAGTAAAATGCTGAGAGGCGACTTCTAAACTTAGCAAACTGAGGTTAGCATGTGCTGCAGAGAGAACATTAACCTCAAACTGACTAATGCAAATTTATTGACCATCACTTTGCAGTTGTGTGGCACATTACTAAATTACATAACAACCAGGGTCACAATGGAGTTTTTAAGCACACATTAACCATCTGAAAATGGGTTCTTATTTCTAAAAATTAGTGGAATTACCCATTACATGATTTTTGTAAAGTAAACCATTAGTTGAGTTATTTAGCTTCAAAATAGACAAATTATATCCAGAACATCTGGAGTCCTGCTTCTTTGCAGACATTACTTCATCTGCAGCCCAATTTACTTTAGTTAGGTTAGATTATCCATATCTCAGGAAAAAAAAAAAAAAAAAAAAAATGGCTGGTGTAGTCCAGGTAACAAATGTTTACAAAAGAGAAAGACAAAGAAAATGGTGGCTTACATAAAGTTCAAATAATTTACCTCCAGCTGATAACATGCAGTCGGGAAGCCGCTGAAAATAGGCTACCATGCACTACATATGTAAAATGCACACATGGCAGCATGGTAGCTACTGATTTACTAAAACGCAGACATCAGGTCACTGAAATCACTTTTCAGTTCACAGGGCTGCAAAAACTAAAGCAGCTATTTATCTAAAAATGTCACTTTATAGCTGAGATTCTTCCATTTCTATTCTAGTATTCATTAAAATCTGAATATCATGAAAAATACTATTTTTTTGTTTCTTTTTGTTAAGTATGTGCTTACCTTTTTGTCCAGTTTTAGCCAGTTGGGGTAACCTTTGGTGTCCACATACTGCAGTCCGAAATACCACACCTCACGTACACCGATGGTTTTTAACACCTAAATAAAAATAAAACAGCAAAATGTTTCTAAGTTGTGGCTTCCATATAAAATACTACTTTTCATTGCACTTTTTTCTCTTCATATTTTAAAATAAAAAATTAATGATTATTTGACAAAACAATGATATACACAAATATAAATGAAAAATGTTCTTTAAAAAAAAAAGATCTATGGTCATTTAAATATCAGAGGAAATGTTAAGTTATTACTGATCAGGCAGATTTAAAAACAAAGAAAACACTCCTCAAAGCAGACTACTTATTTTTTTAATAAAAACATTTCCTTTTAAATTTGGGAAAATTTGAGAGGGACATCAGTGTATTTTATCATGCAGTGTTGACAGGACTCAATACTAAAAGCACACAACCCACACTTTAGGAAAACAATATGTGGTGACATAACTTTTACAGCAGAAAGCGATTGTACCTACAGATAGTTTTTTTTTCCACGACAAAACACACAAAATATCTTCCTCTAAAGTAATAAGTGAGTAAACCTCACTTTAAATTTTCAGCATATCATCTCAATTCAACTCAAATTTACAAAGGCACTAAGCTAATTTATTGGTTTCATTAAATTACAAGGCCTTAATACCGAGAACTGGGCAAAGAAGTAAACCATTACTTAAAAAAAAAAACAGACCATAAAAGTACTTATTTTTGACAATACAATGTTTGATAAACATTTTAAGTTTTGTGATCTATAAATTGCATTACTGGCAAAGCAGCAGCTCTCTCAATGAAGCGTTTTCTGTTGACATGCTTTTCTGTTATTAAGCCTCAACAAAGCGGTTTTATTGTTCAACCAAAGGGAGGGAGTGATGCTGTAAAACCAGGATGTGTCGCATGACTAGTGTTGTGTACTCCAACTTCAGGAACACAGTGTTAGACATTCAACCATGAAGGGCTGGTATGATAACTATCAATTTAACAATACAACTCAAAACCCAGGAGCAGGAAGAGGAGGAGTTTTACTCTTCTGACCTCCTGCTCAGCAGGAAAAAAAAAAAAAAAAATCAGGGAGGCAGCGCACAACCCGAAACCCCCTTTCTTCACTGGTGAAGGAAGGCTACCCCTCATTCAGGAGCTTTGGATCCAAATCGGAAGACTCTATTGCATTGATAAGTAAAATGCATAAACCTTGATACTGGATTTGATTGGAACTCTGCAGAAGGAACAGTGAAGCTACAAGTTTCCCAAGATTGCTGTCAAAAACCAACGCTGACTGCCACCCCACTGAAGGAGAAGAACGGCTGATGTTCATTCGAGCGCAGAGATTACTGGTTGCTGCCCAAGTTGCTGCCTACGCAAACCAGAGGTAGGAAAATGCCCCCAAACAAACCCCTGAACAAAAGCGGCGGTCCATTCCTGGACCCGAGTCGACCACGTTCTGAGCAGATGCTGCAGCTAACTGATTACCAATTCAGACTTTGTGAATAAAGCATTTAACTGTGCACAATGAAAAATGAATCCACATTTACCCTTTGTTTTTTTAAACATGAATTTATTGTTAATCTACCCTTGTATATTTGAGAGAAGTTATGTGTATTTCATTCCATACATGTGTGCTAAACTAGTGCCTTCATCTGTTTTAAAATCTAGGTCTTATCAAGCAGGTATTTATAAATAATAGACTACACTACTAGGCAATTTTCTCAATTGAGTAATTTTGATAAAAATTACTGGTTTTATTAATTATGAAAAATTATTTATACCCAAATCTTCACCACCTACTAGTGGGACAATAGGCAAGAACACAAACTGGTCTGGTCTGCATGTGGGATGGAAACTTCTCAACAACATTTTTTATTAGTATCCATTCATGCAGATTATTAGGTTAGTCTTAAGTCAAATCGCATTGGAAATACTTACAGATAGGCAGTTTTAATGATTTTTTCCCCCCCTACAATAAGTTTTTTAATTCTGGGAAAAGACAGTTATAGGTTTGGAATAATCACTCCTTATACGGGAGGAGTTACAATTTTCCACTGGCTTCTGAGGGAAACCAGAGTCTGTCTTTATGACTTGCACAGAAGTTTTCCTACACCAGAGAGGGACTTTTTTTTTTTTACATTTTTGCTTCTATGCATTTGTTAAGTCAGTCGGCCTTTTGTCATTCCCTTCTGAACACATCTATTCCAAAACTCTCCACCCAGTCAGCAGGTGAGGTGGTAAGATATTCACTTAAACTTCAGCCAGACATGTTGGCAAGGCTGCATATGCCAAGAATAAGCTCCAAGAACGATGAAAATAAACTCAAAAACTCCCACACAGTTTGTGGTTTGCACAAAATACAGAATCAGACTGGGATGTGGGACTAAATAGACAAATGGCTCAAGTTCAGGCAGCACCTAATGGATTTTACTTAATGCAACATCAAGAAGACACATGAAACATGAGATTATCCCAAAACAAGCAGGCCTTTCATAGTTGTTTTTGCCTCAGGCCTGACTGACTGAGATGGAGATACAGTTTGCCCCCACACAGATGCACACAATCTGGTTTTGATTTACAATAATTTGTTAAGCTCTCTTACAGCTTAAACAAGCTTCACCTAACAAAAAACTAAATCCATTTTAAATCCAAATTGCATTTGTTCTGTAAGAGGAAGGTGTTCTAGCAAGTTCTCATGACTTTTGAGGGTTCAGATGCCCAGTTATGCAATTACTGAGACATTACTGAAAGAAATCTACTTAAAAGCGTAAAGGCTTAAATTAGACAGATTTGAAACTTTAACCTGGTTAAATAAGCAGGGATTGCAGAATTTTATATAAATCTTCATCAGTGAGGCAAGACGCTATTAGTGCACTAGAAGAATAAACATAGATAAGTTTAATATATAAATGGAGATATGAGCCTTAGTTCAAGACATATTTACATAACAAAATGTAAACAGATTTGTAAGTTTAAAAAATCTAAATCTTTCCACCAGCAGGTATTTAATGAAAATAAACTATATGTAGAGATTATTACCATCATCCAAGCTAAAAAGAATTTTGATCTAATACTGTTCTTAGCTACTAGCTAAGAAGCTCTTCTTAGCTAGCTGGCATTCTAGCACCAGATGCTAGCTTTTTAACTTGCTTTCTAGCACTTTGTGCTAGCTTCCTGCTAGCTGACATGTGCACGAGAAAAAATAAATTCATCCTGATTAAGGAATGAGGAATCTCTTTGTGATCAATCATTTGGTCAGTACGAATGACATTAAATACAATGAAAATTAAACAGTTGGTCAGTTTAAAGAAGTGGGACTCAGTCAGTGGGACTCAGTCAGTGGGACTCAGTCAGTGGGACTCAGTCAGTGGGACTCAGTCAGTGGGACTCAGTCAGTGGGACTCAGTCAGTGGACTCAGTCAGTTGGACTCAACTTCTGAGTCACCAGATACCTCAGACTCATTTTAGGCAAAAGACTGAAAGTTGACACACCACAATAGCAGAAAGCTGGCATAGCAAAAGGATATAGACTCATCTACCAGCCATCACATGAGGACTGAGTCCGACTCTTCTTGGCTATGAGATTTAGACCCAGCAGTGAAATAAGGGAATATTACTCTGCATCCTCTGAACTGAATAACCTAAAGTCCACCGACTGAAGGGAAGGGTGGAGTTCACAGAGAGTCAGGCTGTTCAACAGCAACATGAAGCACAAAGATGAAAGAGTGCTCTTTGAGGTGAGGAACAGTCTCTTTTTATTATAGTGAAAATATGAGTTTCACTATAATAAGTAAACTTAAGAACATATAATGACAGCTGTTACAATTCACACTTTTTCCTGCTTTATTTAGAACAACTTTGTAGCAAACTTTGAATGTTAGCTCAGACATAGCAGTTGGGTGTCAAGTTCAATTTGTTTGGTATTTTGCATGAAGCACCTTTAAACCAAACTGGATTTGTTTCATCACTTGAACCTTCTAAAGCTCCTAGGCAGACTTTTAACTTGACATAAATTTTGCTTTGTCACCTATCAAACAACATCTTATGAACAGTTTCTTTTTTTGTTTTGTGACTTCGTTGTACGATGGTATTTAGTCAAGATAAAAATCTACACCACAAAAAAAAAAAACAAGCCTCCAAATGCACATGTTTCTGGTGACATCACAACCAACATCAGTTGATCAGATCTCAATAGTTAATTTATACTCTTGTTTCTCCACTCCTTATTTCCCTGCGTTTTACCAAATTCCTCCTTCAGCTGTGTTTACTTGATTTTGGCATGACTGCATAATAACCTCTAAGCATTATTTAATAACTGTGCAGATTTAAGAAAAATATGGTCACAATTAAGCAGCTTATGAAGAGAATCAGTACAAATTTAAATGAAATGTCAAAATCGAATCAATTCAAAGTGGGCTTTTTTTTTTATATCAGCCAATCAGTCTGATTCTTTTGTGAAGTTGATGTCATAAAACTCATATACAAAGTTGAACTTAGTGTGCTTTTAAAAAGTTTGTATCTTATAAAATCTGACAGTGCTGTGCTGCGTTTGGCATATTTGTTTGCAGTGCAGAAAAAGTACTGTGCAGCGTCTCGAAACATAGCTGACAAACGCATCAGTTAAGCTGAAATTAATGTTGCTCGGCAGATAATAAAAGAAGCATCAGCACAAAGTCAGAGTCATGGAAGTGAAACTGCAGCAGGGTGTGTATGGGAGTGGCACATGTTTCTCATTAAGACCTGAAAGACAAGGACTAAAGCTGTGATCAGTGCTGACCACAGGGGCCACACCAAACTGAGAATGAGCTGACTGCTGTTACTCGGCGTTCCGACAGAACCTGTCCGATGCTGTAGCAACGTGACCCAATGGAGGTACAAATCATTCCAGGCCCGTGTTCAAAGTGGCAAATTGATCTTTGCATCACAATAGACCACTTAACTACCTCTCACTTTGTAACAGGGAACTGTGGAACAGCACAGCAATCTCAAAGTCTAGGTGGAAAAACTCACCAGCAGCTATAATTAGACTAATAGCTTGTTTGTCTTTAAAACAAAAAACAAAAAAAACCTATAACTTTGTTGGTTTTAGAAACAACTGAGATGATGGGAGAATCCCCTGACTGCTAGACATGCTATTGAGAAACGGGTTTTACAGGAAGTGAATAAAACAATGTTTTTCCTGCTGTAATCCTGTCACAGTGGAGCTCATACTAACCATTCGTCATCTACTTTTGGATCCAAACGACGGAGTTTTACAATAAAAACGATCCAAGAAAGGAAAATGCAAACGATTGTCTAGGAAGTTACTATTAATAGTAATAAAGTGACCACAGAACAGTGAAAATCTGGATTTTAAAAGGTGACTGTGGCCTCAGTGAGAAATAACTCCAATTAAAATGATAAGTAAAGTTGTCAGCTAACAGAAAGAAAAAAGTTCCCTTTACCAAATACACCTTTTGTTTTCTAATAACAGGTTTCATTTACAACTTTAAGCTAAACTGAGGAAAAAAAGGCCTTAAACAGGTTGTGTACACAGCTGAAAATTAACAAACATTACCAGAGAAGCTATTTTAAAGTTCATTCACTTTTTTATTATCAGTTTTACCATTTAAATCATCCCCAACTTTGGTCTTTTCGTAAGAGTTTTTCCAGGAACAAAACAGCAGCTAGATGTTATAAGATGGTTCACAGACACTTAAAAAGCTGAAATTTCAATTATATTTTCAATATCCTTATAATAATTCACTTTATTTTCAACAGTAATGAATCGGTACCTGAGCAGAGTCAAATAAATTTCAGATAAACACGCTTGACCAATTCAATGATCAAAAAAAAAAAAAAAAAATTTATGGGATGCCTATGACTGTACAGCTAGCTCACTGTTAATGTCTTTTACTCTGCAGTTGTGGAGTCACAATGTCTGGGATCATTAGTGCCCCCTGCCACAAGGCAAGAGAACTGCATGCATCCCCTCGAATCTGTTCTCTTTATGATCGCTCCTCAGCACACAAAACACGTTACACACACAGTTGATGACAAAAAAATAAATAAAATACAGTACATGACACAAATAAGCTAAATTATCGAAAATCAGTTCATACATTGAATGTTTTTTAGCCATTTTATTGGCAAAGAACAGGCAGGAAGGACATGCTGTCATAGAATGGCAGCCAGTGCAGTTAGGAGAGGTTGATCAATCCCAGGTGAGGCTCAGATCACTGCTGCCTCACTGGCTGCTCTTTAGAGCATCTGAACGGGAACATGCAAAAATCCAGCGATTTTGAAGAAAAAAATCATTAGAATTGGTCAAGCTAAATGAAAAATAGGTACTTTATAGTACAGGGTGAAAATAACAATATAAATGATTTTATTATTGTATATTATTTTTCCATGATGACAGGTGAGGCTGTGCCTCATTTTCCTCCCCTGACCACACGTCACTGGTGTAGATGGTGAGGAAAGCTTAATATAGCTGTGTGTGTAATGTGTTAATAAATACTCAGGAAGCACAATGGACATGCAAAGACTTTCCATGGAGGTTTGCCTGCTGAGCTCATCAGTTGCAGGGTTTTCATTCATGTCACTTAAATAGGTAAAGGATTGAAATTTGACTTTTTTTTTTAGATAAATTCCTGAAAATGCAAGAAATTTAAATCTATATTTAACTGTTTAAAATGACAATAGACTATTTGATGCAACATCCCTGTCCTTTTTACATGATTAGAAGTCACCATAACCCCTAATAACCAGGAAAGATCAATAGATATTTATCTGTATCTTTATATAAAAATAAGTGGATTGAAGTTCAAAATACTGACAACTGTCATTTGATCCGATTCCCACTTCTATTAATAGGCTTCAGTTTGAAAGTCACCACCTCATTTCAAAGTCTATTCTGTTCCAGCAAGGATAAAGGTTAAACTGGAGAAAAAAAAAGAAAAAAAAGGACATTCACTGTACCTGGTCAAACAGCTGTTTGCCCGTAGTGCTGGGCTGGATGGCGAACTCCAGCTCAGCGTCCATGGTGGTGACGCGTACATTGACCTGTACAGGAACAAAAAGGCAGCAGTTTAAAATCTGACACAGAGAAACAGAGCAGTTTTCACAAGATTTAATATGTGGAAACTGCTTTCAGCACTTTCAGTATTTATCTCCTTTAGATTGTGTTTCTTTTTTTTGCTTTTTTGCTACATTTTAGAAAATTTTACAAAAGTGAACATTAGAGAAATATAATACGAGAGCCTGCTTTCAAATGTTGATTTCATTTATTAAGAAAAAAGTTGGCCAAATCAACCTCACCCTGTGTCAAATAGTAATTTCCTCTTAAAATCACCAGAAATGGAATGAATATAAGCGGCCTGTATGCTTGACCTTAAAGCAGCGATGTGTCGTTTTTATAAAAAATATATATGTTTTTACCTATTTGCTAAAGTCATCATTGTGTTGCAACAGCTAATAAAATACAGAATTTGTGGAAAAAAATAGAGCTCATTTGTCTCTACAGTGTACTGTCATCTGAAAAAATAGATTGCTCCATCAAAAAAAAAACAATGAGAGCAAGGAGGAGGGTTTTGGCGCTGTCAATCACCCTACTGTTTGCATCACTCATATCCTTCCCTAAATGTTCAGGCTAGATAGCATTGCCTATGACAGAAGATAAAAAATTATCCTGGAACGGTAATTTGTTTTTCCACCATTAGCATATTTGGTAGCACATACAGAAGCATGATTAATAGCACTAAGACCTTCCTCCTTGCTATGGTTGGTTGTTTTTGACCAGGAGCAGTGCATCTCTTCAGATTGCAATGGCAACACTGGTAGAGGAGATTGATGTTTTAATAGATTATTTGTCTCATACTATCACAGCATGATGACCGTTTCAACAAACCTGTAAAAAACATTTTTGTAAAAGTTACATACTGTGTCTTTAAGGTGAATGGCTGGTTATTCCTTTGGGTAGAATTGTTTTCTCCTTGGAATTGTTTCCTTGGTATAATTTCACTGACTTTAACACAAGAAAGTGAAGTTTTAAGTAACTTAGATGTTGTTCTGGGTCCAGTTTGACTTTCTGGATAAGTCATTGGTGTACTCTTGGAGTAACTTTTTAAAGGTTGGACTCTCGCTGTGATTTGGTTGGGTCCCAAAACCGTATAGTCCTTTGAAATATTTTCTAAATTTAAAAATATCAGTGACTGTTTTTTACTCATCTGTCCTTGAATTTCTTAGTTTAGGGCATGGTGTGTTGCCAACTTTTGCTGCCAGAAAAGTTCTGTTTAAGGGTAATAACCAGTCAAGGGTGTGGTTACAGAAACAAATCAGCTTTCTAGGAAACAATTTATTCATAATTTAACATGGAAATAAGTATTTTCACATAGGTCAAGCTGGTTTGGATAATCTCTGTCCTTCAATAAACTAAATCATTAAAAAATTGCATTTTGTATTTATTCCAGAATTTGTTTGATCAAATTTGAAACATTAAAACATGCTTTAAAGAAAAAAAAACTGAAAATCAGACAAACTCCTAAAAGGGTAAACTCTTTTTCACCATACTGCAAGGTAAAGCAAGCCAAACTACTACAGAAGAGAGCCTGGGTGTATGTGTGTGTATTCACGTATGTTTGGTAAGGGGCTGTATTTGCTTAGTAAACAGCAGGGGCTCTGCTCTTTCAGAAACACACTGTCTGATTGAACCGAACTGTGCAGCAAAATCTGAGGTATTCAAATATCCAGAAAATGAATTCCAAGTAAATAAGACATGTTTTCATTTAAAAAAAAAAAAAAGCCAAATGCTGCAATAAAGCAAACCATGATATTAGAGAGCTGGTTAAACTACAGTCACATTTGCAGAAATAAGGCATGTCTTCCAGATTTCTGGTTAATGACTGATCACAGCAATCTGCACAAACAGGACAGTCATCTACCTGAGCCATGCATCATGCACAGCAAGTCCGTTCTCTTTTCACAACAATCCACCCCGGTGATTAATCCACAGTTTCAAAATATATATGCAAACAGAACGATTGCCGTGACAAATGGAATAATAGAAAATGACGTCAACTGTGTATCATAATGGGGAGAAACAATATTCAGCACTGTAGGTTTAGTCAGTAATCATCAAACGTCATGAAAATTTAGACAAAGGCCATAAAACAACCCACAAATATTTACAATGGCTGCTTTGAGGCAAAGCGCACACTGAATGACTTTTCCTGTGGCTATAAGGTCAAAAGTCCCTGGTATTTGCAGAGGTTATGAAAGAGACAAACACTCCGAGTATCGAGTATGAAAATGACACCAAGAGTTTAGTGGACAGAGCTGAGAGGGAGAAAGCCAGCTAACAGAAGCCTCCCGTGACATCTTTCATCTCCAGTCCATTGTGACCGAGCCTCAACGACGCCCGCGGGAAGAGGGTTGCCCCTGTCTGGTGATTCCCAGGAATCTACAAAGGTTTAGTGATGGTAAATCCTGCAGAAGCAGCAAATCCAGTCACAGTATTGGATAGAAAGCGTCCGTTCCTACGCCTGTCAAGGATATGATAAGGACGAAGCAGTCTAGACAGTGGATATTCAAGAAGCCCTTTATCTCACAACATGTGTCTGTTACTTTTGAAGCCAATAAAAATCAGAAACTTTGAAAAGCAAGACACTTTCTCCTACAGCCTAAATTAAATTACAGCTTACAGCTACAAATGTTTTTGAAGTTTTGTACCCCAACAAAACATGTGTGCACAATTTGAAATCTAAGAGTCAGCAGCCTAATTAAGAGACCAGTTTCAAGTCAACGTTAAAATGTAAGGAAAGGCAGGAGGAGGGACTACATTTTACAACAAAACAAAGCTTTCCTTTCAGCTGTGTTGCCCCAGCAGCCCCAAACCATCTCACTGGAGCCAGATTACCAAATATACCCACCCGAACTGAATCTGCTTTACAAAGTGTTTTCCTTTTATTAAAATGATGATGTAGACATTGAACAGTTTGGGTAAGGTTTCTCACATTTGCAAAAAGTTACAAGCAAGCACCAAGAAAAAACACACAAAGCAGAATAAATGCATGTGTGGCACAGACGAGCCAAAAGAAACCACTGACCGAGTGATACGTGATCTGTACCAGAGTTCTCCAATGGCAACGCACAATAAACTGTGACCGTTCACAGCAGGGGAAAAAAAAATACATGACACATTTCCTAAAAATATACCTGGCAGGGGCCCACAGTTCCACTATCCAGCTTTAGTCAGACGAACGTATGCGGGGTTCCATATTAGTCATCACAGTAATAACTGGCTTCATCTTTTCAGCTAGAAAAGCACTCAAATATAAGCTGCCATGACAACAAAGTGTATTCAAGTTTGGTAACCAGGAAAACAAACATGTCTATTATCAACTTTAACATTAAGAGCAATTTCAAACCAATTATTTTCTAAGAGAGGGGATGTGACAGTGAGATCCATTTATAGATGGAATCAGTCTCCATAGAAAGGTAATCTGAAGTTTGCCAAACTTCAGATTACGGAGGGCAAGAGTGGCTTTTATCCTGACTGTGCCACAACGGACTAGATCTTTACCCTGAGTTTGGTTGTCCAGTCCGCATGTTTTGTGGAACTCTAGGTGGCTTGTACTCATGTCCTCTGAGGCATTTTGAGGCGAGGGCTGCAGAGGTTTGAAGCAATGGGCATCCATTTAAGCACTGCATAACCAAAGACTTTTAGACACAGTCAAGCTTATTCCTTACAAAGGTTGGACTCAGAGTTTCCCCTTGTTTCCCATCATGCAGTAATACTATTTTTATAGCTAGAATCTGAAATGTTTACAATACTGTCATGAAAAACTGAAGGTATAGTAATGGGTGCCTAGTCTCAAAATCTCCACGTGGATTAAATTTCTCAACTTGATTGATTGTGTAATGTTTAAGTTGGAATTACAAAGAGTGAAGGGTTAAAACATTTTGCCAAAGATGAGCTGTGACTGTGATGGTTGGTTAAACTGATTTGTTTTCTGTTAACCGAAGATAAACCAATGAGGAATACTTGGAAATTAATCTAAGCTTCATAGTTATAGTCCAACAAAAATATTTTTATCTTGTAACGATCTAAAGAAATAAAAGACCAATTAAAATGATCAGTTTCTCTGACTTTAGTTATTATTGCTATTTATTTGAAAATTCTTCTTTTATTCTATGAACTACTGACAGCATGTCTCAGAAATTCCAACCAAAAATCTGGTATTTATTTGCAAAAAATGAGAAATGGTCAAAATAACAAAAAAGATGCAGTGATTTTAGACCTCAAGTAATGCAAAGACGACAAGTTCATATTCATTTAGAAACAACAATATTAATGTTTTAACTCGGGAAGAGTTCAGGGATTGATGTTTGGTGGAATAACCGTGAGGTTTTCAATGGGGTTCAGTGCAGTGGGATCTTAATTTTTTCCAGAGCTATGAAATGATGACGTTCTGAGTTTCTGTTTTGTTGCATTCGGCTGGCCATTAAGTTACACAATCTAAATAATGCATACCTTCTCATTTCCTTAAAGTAAGTAATATACCTTCTTCACCAAAAATACATCCAGTGTAGCGTACACTCCTTTCTAGGCTATAAAAGTTTACAAGCATCACAGGTTTCACTTTTAGTTTTGGTTCTGTTAGTTTTGATTTGACAAGCTACAAAAGAAAACTCAAGAAATTTGCAATATTTTGAATTAAATTATATAAGAACTTAGAAAATATATGTTTTAAGACTCTTAAGATTTTAATTTTTCTATTTTGGTATTCAACATTTTAGGTTCAAAAGTGAAGCATTTTTATTTTACTGTAAAAAGCTGGCAGGTTCCATTAATGAACTCTTAGATTTCCCTTTTGTTGTAATTGGTACCAATAGAGCTTTTGATATCCTGGTGATGAAATGCTGAAGACATTTCATGGTGAAAAAGAATGTGATGTTAAAGCAAATGTTGGTTGGCATTAATTCACACCATTGTAACTCAAACTATTATAGACACTGCATCAATCAATCTCTTTTTACCATTTTACTTTTGACTTGAAATTCATTCAGGGTATGTCCGAAGTCTGCTTAGCCAAAAAGTAATTTTATGTTTGCTTGTAAAGAAGGGCACTGCCTTCAGCTGTAACAAAGGTTTTAATATTAATTCAAAGAACCTCCACTTGTGATTTGTCTTTTTTGAAAGTCGAATCAATAGACTGCTGAACTGTTATATCCAGTTCTTGTTTTACTTATTAAACAAAATATATATTTTCAAACTAAAGTAAATGCAAAGGCACATCAAGAATCCCTGATATTTTTCAGGCATTTGCTTTGAAACTTTATGATTCTTTTCCCGCAGGTTAGGTAATAGGCACCGGTCAAGTGAAAAAAATGAGGTGGTCATCACATCAGTGGTTACAAAAAAATAGGCTGAGCTGTATTCCTGTGTCAGGTCTGTTCAATATTTAACACTCTGCATAGCTTACATGCTTAACAAGTATCCAGAATAATCGGAAGCGCCATTGTGATTGAAATAAACCCATCTATAAAAATGTGGACCAGCCCTAGCAGTATTTAAATACAGTCCTCTTGGTTTCTGAAGCATGGATCACACCTACAGGGAGTTCCAAATGACATCAAGTGATAAAATAGTTGAAAATTAGTAAATCCCAATAATAGAACTGGTCATAACCATGGAAACACAGGAGATCATTAATGATCTCCTGTGATAGTAGGCACTCCTTGTTTGGTTCGTGTCCTCAAGGAGACGGGATTCTGCGAGAGCCAAGGAGCGCTATCGTTTACTTCTCACAATGCGTCATTGAAATAAGTGACACATGAGTCACAGAGCCGTCGATATGGGAGCGTTACACACAAACATTGGTCCTTAAATATGGTTCAAGCTCCTATAATAAACCACTTAATGCTTTCCAACCACTTAATGCTGTTTTATTTTTATGCCAAGTTTGCAACTTTTATAAATCACAGCCACTTTGTGTGTTTCGATGCAAATTTAGAAGCAAATTCAAGGCAACTTTGATCTCTTATTCTTTGATCTTAGCAGAGAAAAGCAGCTCAGGTGACACATATTTTACTGGGATCACTCCTAGTTACATTTTCTTCCCTGTAGCTAAATATCAAAAAATATTTTCAAAGTGGTTATTAGGCGTGACCTTTGATTTTGATGATTTCTGTGAGGCTTTGCTGCTATGCTATTAAAGAGAATGACAAATGATCATTTGAGAACACTAACCCTAATCTAATTCTTTTGGCTGTTTTCTGTCTGATCTCTTTGAAAAGGGGCCACTGGTGATACAGAACCTTCAATTTCAACTTTTCAAATGTAAAAAGGTTAAAATACACAAGAAAATTGACTGATGGCCAGCTAAGACCAGACCAATGGCAAGACAATGGGAAACGCAAAAATTCAATTATTCTTCCAATCAATGAACATATTAAGCACTGAAAAAACTGTCTTCAGTACAGAAGTTGTTATTGAATGAAGAAAAATCAAAGTTAGCAATTTTCATAAAATATTAAGATGTTCAATGAAGAAAAAATTTCAGGTGAAAATTTCTAATGGGGATGTAAAGATTTAGCAGAAAACCTGAACCCATTACAGCAACTTTGCTACACTTTAAAAACTGTAGCAAAAACTCTTGATTTTGGGAATCAAGAGTTTTGCTAAGGGTCTTAATTATCTAAGAAATGCAGACAGAAATTCAGCTACAGTTAGAAATCCTGGGCTTTTTTCCCCTCTCTTCATATTTTTGATTAAATGCTGGCTCGACTCACACTTCCCAAGCCTGTTAATCTAATTTCACACTTTTCACAGATGTGAAAACACAGTTCCTTACTTAAATCCCACCTTAAGCTGAAGTGAGGCTCAGCAGTTGCAAGATGAATTTTTAAAGCTGTCTGGAACGATTTCATTTAAAGGCAGACTTTGTGTCCATTTGTCAGTTGTTCTGTTGCAAAGATTGGGTGAATCAGAGGGGAGGGACACATTGTCAGCATCTTCTTCTGAGCTCTCCACGTTGCCATGGAAAGTCAACTGTACAGTCTAATATTATGGTCCAAAAAGGCTGCTTTGTGGCAACAGCTTGTTGATGCTTTCACATGGCAATGATGTAATTTCCTCAGAAATGCTCAAGACAACCCAGAGACCTTTTTAAACAAACCAGCAACGCATTTTATGACTCCAATAGTTGCTTTGGTCATTGTCATCACAACACAGATTGATTGGTTCACTAAAACAAACTGTAGATAATAGTAACACTTTTTTAATCCTTCTAATTCCTCTTTTGCATAAATTACTTATTAAACTCTGCTTTACAACATTAAGTCCAACCAGAGTTATTGCTTCAGTCCTGTTCTTTGCAGACCATCTCCATCACTTTTTCCTGCCTACAAGAAGACACGCATCTGTGCCTCGCCAGAAACGTCCAAGTAGAGAGCTGAAAGAGGGGTGTGTGTGACTGCACGCCATGCAAAGACTGTGGGGTGGGGCAAAGTGAGTCAGGAGAATGTGAAGAGAAAAAACCTGTTCGAATATATAGTTCAGCTTCTTCTTCTTCTCCAACTGGCGGACAACTCCCAAAATCCAGACAAATGAACTTTCAATACACTTTTATTGTTTGAAATACAAGAAATATGATTCAACCGATAATAATCTGACAATTTATTAATCTACACTTTAGCCACATCTCATATATATAAATTTTTTTTTCCTTTACCTTTTTTGTTTCAAACTCCATTTTATATTGTTATGCGACATCTAGATTTTTGATCATCGTTATTTAAATTCCCACACTCTGTAATTACTTAGGTTGTTTAACTATTCTTTTGTGTGAAATATTTTAGTAAACTTAAAGTATGGTTAGTGTAAGCGCTGTCACAGGTTTCCAACAACAGAAGTGGTTCAGAAGAGACCGAGTCAAAACAAATAAAGTAAAGGGTCACCTACCGCTCTGGGCATTTTGCTGTCCTTCTTCCCCGAGCTGCTAGATATGAGAACCAGAAATAATAAATAATAAATAAAATAAAGACGTGTGCTCCGTGCGGCTCCGGGTCTCAGAGCGTCCTCCTGAGAGAGACAGAAGAAGAGAAACGAGTTTCAAGCACTTGTGCGTTAGTTACTCAGCTGCTCAGATCGACACTCCTCATCAGGATGAATCATCAAAGTTCGCAAACGTAGCACGGGGCGCACCGGAAAGACTTCAAAATAAAAGTCGAACCAACCAAGATATGAGTTTCGCTTTCCAGATAGATAGATAGATAGATAGATAGATAGATAGATAGATAGAACCAGCTTTCAGTAGTTAGTTATCACAAATTATAAATGAAATATATTTAGAAATTATAAAACTGGAAATTTTTCAGAAAACATAAAATGGATTAACAGTTTAAAGCCTTCCTACTGCAATAGAGGTTTACCAAGCGTTGAAAACTGGTGCTACCAATAAAAACAGTGTTGGGACACATTCATTATTGAACCGTCTTCTACAGCAGAAAGTGTCAAGAAAAAGGTAATTAACAATGAAAGAGAGGAATGTAGGTCTTTCCTACAGAGAAATTATAAAGAAGGACAACGTGTCAGTCAAGTTCATCATCAAAAGGCTCTCAGAAACTGGGACAAACTCTTACGGGAAGAGATCTGGCTGACCCAAAGTTACAACTGATCCAGTTGACAAGTTTCTGAGAGTTAACAGCTTGCTTGATATGTGGCTCACAGGACAACAGCTGGCCGATGTAAGCAGAACTCAGTTTCAACTGTGAAGGAAGGACAGACAGAGCTGCAGATTTGGGAAGACATGTCCACAATTTAAATACTGAAGACTGGAAGAAGACATTACGGACTGATGAGTCAAAATGTAAAATCTTCAGTTCATCATGCAAGATCTTTGTACACTGTCAAGTAGGCGAAAAGGTGATTCCATCTGTATGGGATAAACTGTCAAACATGGAGGACGAAGTGTGACGATCTGGGTCTGTTTTGCCGGATCCACAGTGAGAGGCACCCTGAACCAAAATGGTGACCACAGCATTTAACAGAGCAATGCATGCCTTCTGGTATGCATATAGTCAGGGTAAGATAATGACCCACAACAGTAGGCCAATTACTCATTTGTATATGCTTTAATGTCAGTGTGTAAAGAGACATTAAACTGCATATTTTAATGCAAACTTCAAAAACTGGGGTGTTCTAAAACTAAACTTGATTTTTTGACATTTGTTTCATTTAATTTAATATTCTGTTAAAAAGTATTCTGTTAAAAATTTGCATCATAAATATATTGGGATCATTTTCAACTAAAATCCTGAAAATTAAAATTGTCAGGATTTTATTTTTGAAATTACAAACCGGAAGTCCTGCACCTGTGCGTTGGCTTGAGTCACAACGGCACATGGACGCTAAATTTTCTATGCAATGTGCCTCACCCACTTTCTATAATAAATGTTTATTCTCTCCACCCTTCTCTATGTTAACCTTCAGCGATGACGGCTGCTGCATTGGCCAACAGGCGCGCATCTCAATTTATGTTCTTACCCAACTATTTGTTTGTGTCGCCAAACAAAGTCGATCGCAAACACGCAAAACTGCGTCTTTGAGCAAAAAGCAAACGAACTGCTCTCAGGCGGCGATCCCTGTTGACAGAGTGTTCAAATGTAACAAAGTGAAGATTTATGGCCCTGCAAATGTTTTTGCTTGGTAATGCGCACACCCACATGCATCGAGAGGGAAACTAAGCTCAGAACTGTTTCATTCTTCTATTTTTTTAACACGTACTTTTACTGATAAAATTGAGCACACGACTGTAAACATTTCAGCATCTTCAATTTGGGTGCTAAGACTGAAATTACGCAGTCACATTCTGATCCCACAGACACCTGTTGGGGGATTTTCCTCCTTTGTGCGGCGCAGCAGGGAAGTGCGCGGCAGGATTAAAAAAATGTGCGGAAAAACCAAGTATTTGCGGATTTTTAAAGGTGCATCCCTAACTCAAACCAGTAGCTGCTGAGGTGGAAGTCTTACCGGAGCTTGGTGTTGGGTTTTGGGAGACGAGTTTGTGTTTTTCCGGAGCGGGCAGCCGCAGATTTTCCTCCAAACTCGAGAGGTCAGACAGACGCAATATGGCGCTGCTCCATCCCAGACGGAGTGGAGAGCGGCTGCAGGCACCGGCAGGATGCGGGACTCCACAGGTTCACATTTTCACCTGGGCTTAAAGCCTTTACTGCTGTCTACAGGTGCATCTTAACCAACTGGAATGTCAGAGAAATATTGATTTATTCCTGTAATTTAATAAATAAGTGAAACTCATGTACAGATTTATTGCACACAAACTGATATGTTTAAAGCGTTTACTTCTTATGACATTATGATTGTACCTTACAGCTAATGAAAAGTCAATCGATGGACTTATGTCACATGGAAAGACCCCAAAAGAACCTGAAGCAAACGCTGCATCAGTGCAGTAACTCATACTAAAGGTGCTCTAACTAGATATCTGATTACATTTTCATGGGCTGACATTTCAGCTGTGAAAATATTTTCATTATTTTTGTTGAAAATATGAGAGTTGGTTGAGCATTTTTTCCTTCCACTCAATTTTCAATGAATGCGGCCGGTGCGTATGTGAATAGCCAGTTGTTTTAGCAACAACCATATCAAGTCACCCTGGATTCTGCGGACAATAACACAACATTTCTGTTTCTATTAATATTCCAATGACCCGAACGACTGACCTTTTAAGCCAAAATGATCAAAATTAACAGATTAAAATGTTTGAAATTTAAACTGATTATAATTATGACATTTACGTTTTAAAATAAACTACTGAAATGAATGTACTTTTTAAATTTATGAAGATATTTGTGCGTAATCACGGGACCCTCATTACATATAAAATGTGTTTAAAACTGAATTTATAAACGTCTGATTTAAATAGTGATTATTTATTGACTGCAAGTTTTTTTTTTTTACAGATTTAATTCTATATTTTATTTACGATTCAGTGACGGTCTGGCTAAAAAAAGAGAAGAAAAGGGAACATTTGCCTTTGAACGAGCTGCGTAAACCCAGTGACAGAGATGCGTCATGTGTGCAGCAGCAACTGTTAATGCGACGGCCTGACTGAAGGAAAACATTAGAAGCGCATCCATCAGCTGATCAGACACTGCGGACGAGCGGTTACCTGCCGCTGGTTACGTCACAGCAGAAACTTTCACAGACAGGAAGTGATCCACCGCGCCCAGCGGGCGGAACTGATCCAAGAAGCTGCGGCGAGCAGAGGTGGGAGGCGTCAGAGGTGAGCCGACCAATGGGCGCCGCGGGGATTAAAATAGAGCCGTATATATCCGAGGTTTCACCTACTTCTCTGCATCACACGAAACCACAGAGGGATGCGGCTGTCCTGCTCACCGCCACTCCTTTCACCCAGTGAAACGCAGTTTCACCTCACCGGCGACAATGTGTTACATTTAACTCCAGGATCTGAAGAACTAAAAATAAAACTAGCCCCAAACATCGAGCTTAACGCGCTAATATGAAAGGAATTCAAAGGTTAAAGGAAATTCCCAGATTGATTATGAATGATAACAAAAAACAAAAACAGAAAGAAAGGATGTGGAGACTTGTTCTTTGTATTCTTTTACTATAAGAGCTTTGTTAAGCTGAACAGTTTGCTTGACAAAAATGCAAAACATTCTTTCATTTGCCTGAATTAACTGACCAGATGCTGATGCAAATGAGTTAATTCAAAGGAAGGAATTTGAATGATCCTTTGACTCTTTTGATTGATTACCTCCAGTGGAGTGTCTCAGCTCATAAAACCTGAGAGAATATGTCATGTTTGTTTGCTTTGCTTTGGCTGAGAGAGAGGCAAGCTGCTCATGGTTCCTGGAACCATTAATGCAGAGCTCAAACCTTCACATTTGTAGTTATGTGTACAGTTTATTTACGAATAGATAAACACAGCCTAAACAGTTTTTAAAAAATCTAGATGATTTTCATAGATTTCTGTTTCTAATACGGATTGATGTAAATATACAGATTTGACCTTTCACACCCTTTTGACACGCTGTCACCACTCTGAAAATATTCTTAACAGACCATTTTATCCTATTTTAGCCAAACACACTTATCCTAAAGTGATGTCATCCATGACTCTTTAAACCAATACATAAATGAACATTGAATGGGTGACAGTTTCACCCAGAGACTATTTTTACCTGAAATGATTGGTTACGTTCAAATAAAGAAATTGAACACCTGAGAGAAACAATCATCACTTTCAAATATTGAGAAAAGGATTTTGACATGGCGTCGCTTGCTAAAATATTTTTATAAAAGTGACCATTAACAAAAAGCAGACTCAGCCTTCTGATTGGATAGTTGGATACATGTATGCAAAGCTTTATAGGTTTATTCATATACACAGAAGTCATTTTCTTAAGAGCCTGGATCAACAAAACCAACTAAATATATTTCTTAGTATGAAAGCTAAGGTAGCTTGTTAAATATAACCCAAAGGGTATCCGTCAGATCACAAAACAGTGTAAAGCACTTTTATTTTTTCAATTAACAAACTGAATCATGAAAGATAAAAATACTTTTTTATGACTTTTATTTCTGATGGAACATTTGCTGATCACCTGATCTTTTCATGAGTCATTGCTGCTCTGATCCGACTTGATATTCTTAAACTCCTGCAGTCTTTTCTGGGTGACTTCATAGATGATGTCTGAAACAGACACACAAGATGAACATCTTTAAAACGTATTTTGCTCTGTGAAGCTCTTGCTACTCTTCCAGGAGCTGTGTAATGTTTAGTAACTACCAGTAGATGGCGCTAGATAAAAGCGTTGTAACTATGCAGTATTTGAAATATTTTGGTAACTCATAGATGGGACTAGTAAAATGATTTTTGTCCATTAGTTCTAAAGGCATGTCCATTAGTCACTTCAGGCATGCAACTGCGCCTGTTTCTGAATAATTACACTTCTTTGCAAAAGTATTCAGACTCTCTTGAACACTGGAGCAGGGGAAGGTACTTGATTGCAAAAGAAAAGAAAAGAAAAACACAAGAACACATGGAAGTTTCTAAATCTTGCCCATGATGTTTCTGAAAACCTCTGAAAACTTCACAAAACATGACAACGGATGCTAAATGATAGAGTGGATTGAACATTTCAAGTGTAAATAATTAACCATGCTTCGTTTTTAGAATGACACATCTGAAGCAATTGATGAAGCTGTGATCAATTAAAATGTTGAAAACAACAAAACAAAACAGAGTGTCTTACTGTCCAGCACTTGTCTTGCTGCGTATCTCTTGTCTAATTGATTGTTGACTTCAGCAAGGAGCCATGGTATGAAATTCACTGAAATATCTGCAAAAATAACACCAGAAATATATATATATTTTTAAAAAACATGCAATGGAAAAGCCTCCATGCAGGCACTCATAGAGCGCCAACACCCTCTTGTGGCAGAACAATGAAAGCTGAAGAGGCTCACCTTTCTCCACAGGATCGTAGAAGTAGCCGTGTTTTCTGAGAGCGGTGAAGACTGCAGGGAGGAGTCCAGACAAGTACTGCTGGCTGAACACCCGGGCGGCGATCTTCTCTGCGGTTTCCTGCTCCTTCTTTAGCACCTCCTTCTGCTGGGCAACTCTGCGCTCCTGGAATCAAAAGGAAAATGTGTTCTTATATTTCTTCGAGTATGATAGTACCAATTGAGGCACTATATTCATCCATCCATTCATCAAACCAAAACCACAGCTCACACCATAAAACATAAAAAATAGCTCTTATCAAGTCACAACCACTGATTGCATAAGAAATCAAAATGAAATCAAAATGAATGTAAGAGTGTTGAATGCTTAATAATCGTAGCTGCTTGCTCTCGTACTTTCTCCTCTCGGTAGCGTCGCTCCTGCTCCTCCAGACGCTGCACCTCTGCCAGCTCGTTGTTTCGGAGCTCCAGGAAGACCCTCTGCTGGGCCCGCAGACAGGCCAGCTCCTCCTCCTCCATCACTTCCAGCAGGGACTGTTCAATCGTCTTTCCAATCAGAACCTCCAACACAGGCTGCACCTCAAGGTCAAAGTCAAACAGCTGCAGGGGATACATATATTTAGATGATGCATTGTTTGCTTTACCCTGTAGTCACTGTCTGTCTGTCCATATATAGACATTATCTTTACTGGATTTCTGCTGAAAATACTCACATCCCCCTCCTCTATCTGCGTTTCAACATCTACCCCAGATTTGGCAGGAATGAAGAGCGGAGTCGATGGTTTATCCAGGAACTCGTCGGTCTGACAATCCATCTCAGTAAGTTGAATGATATTGCTCAGCTCCTCAAGGAAAGAGTCTGGAAATAACAGAGACAGTAGTTTGTTTGCAGGGTTCTAAAGCACATGGGAAAACCATTTTAGATAAAATGTTTCACCTGTTTGCACCTCAACATGTTGTCTGCCCTGAATAGCTTCAGGCGTCTTGGTTTTTAACTGTTCCTTGGCCTGTTTTCGAGCAATAGCTCTCCTTCTGTACGCCTGCTGTCTTTGCTGCATACTGGGGTCTGCTTGATTATTTTGCTGAAATTGGGGGATACAAGATCATTCAAAATTCAAAACTACTTTCTTTATTCCAAAAGGAGATTCACTTAAATAATAATAATAACAATGACAAAAATTTAGAAAAAGAGAACAAAGATGTTTCATCCATACTTTTGAAACAATCTGCTCGCCATTGACATTTCCTCTGACGACCCGACGATCATACATAATGTTTCCATACTGCAGCTGGCTCCTATTTTGGCAACAAAAGAGAAGCAATAAAATCTTCAGCAGTTTAATGTTGTCATGCTGGTCATTTAGAGAGAAAAACTGATCCATGTAATGTTATATTTACATACAGAAGGAGTGTTTAAAATGCTTTTTCAGACATTTTGTTTGTTGACTGTGAAACTCATTACTAAAGTGCAGTGAATCCCAATTTCATTTTTTTGTACCTTTGCTTTCTGTCACATTTAAATGTTGTTTTTCTTTGATGAGTTCAAAGAAAAACTCAGCTTTTTCAAGTGTGATTAAGACCTGATCTGTATAAGCAAGAAGTCTCATTAAACAGGAGGCCCTGAATATTATTCTCCAGCATAAAACCCAGATGAAGAATGTCTTGTCATTGGCTTACCTGGTTTATGTAGCAGGTGTATGATTTAAAGTACACTGCAAGTTTACTTCTGAATAGCTCATAAAACAAAAGAAATGCTTTACATTAAATAATTTTCATTTAGAAATGGGAATTTTATTATCAGACAGTGAACTTACAGTTAAAGTATGCAGGTTAAAGAGGTAATTTCTTATTTAAATGTCAAGTGATACCATAGAAAAAGGAAAATAAACCAAAATTTGACTAATATTTGTACTGACTTGTCTGACTATTGTAAAATCAACGGGTTTTATACTTTTTAGTTGTTGTCCTACAGTGAAAGTGAAGGACTTTTTTACCTGAAAATCCTTTACCTAAAACATAAAAACATTGAGCAATGGCATACATAGAATATAACTCGATAACATAAATTGATTTTACTTTATTTTTCTTAAGCTATTTTGACTCATCTTTAAATTACAGAAACATACAAGCAGTAGTCAAATTTTTTTAAATGTATTTTAAATCCTAAAAATAATTTCAAGGCCCTGTATTGTATAGCCCACAGTGAGGCCCCGACCCCACGCTTGAGAACCACTGTGCAAAACGTACACTGCTAATCTGGACCTGTAAGCTCGTCCAAGCACAGCGTAATAACAGTAACAGACTTGCAGCGTTATCATTTTTAGCTAAACAGTTTGAAGAGAAACGTACGGGTCGGGCAGATCTCTGAATTTGCGGATCTCCACGGGTTTGGGGTGACTTGAGTAGGTGTACATCCCGTTTGGTTCTCTGGGGCAGGCAGGATGGAAAGCAATGGACCGGAAGCCGCTCCGAACTTTATTTACCGAGATTCAGTTCAACTTGGCGCTGACACTTGGCGAGTAAAGTTGTCTGTTTGGAAGCTAACAACTTTAGGAAGCGCAACGGTTGTAGCAACCGTATCCAGGAAGAAAACGACGCGTGCGTGACGTCATTTCCGTTCAAGAGCAACATTTTTTTTATTTTTTTTTTTTCATTGTTTTGCGTCTCTTTTTGCTGAAAACTAGGAATATTATTTATGTGCCGATGAAGTAAATTCGATTGAGACATTAAAAAAAAAAGAATAAAACGTCAAACTTTAAATGATGTGTTATAGTTTTCAAATTTCAGAGGATATGATTGGTAAATACAATAAATATAGATATTTTCAGTTTGTACCCAACTGTCAAAAATTTATTTAAAAAAACAAATATGTATAACTAAGAGAATTGAAACACAGAAACCAATTATTTATGAACACTTATGGCTGGCTGTGGTGTCACTATGCAAACTTAAATGAACATGTTTGCGTTACATTTTTCTTTCTATCATCAGTTCTTGGAATTTCATTGCAGCTTATATGTTTCCTGCTATTTGCAGACTATTTTTGCCGTGTTGCAAAAAATAAATGATCTCAACTTCTTGTGGTTCAGATCAACACCGAGACACTTGTTTGGTTGTTTCTTTAAGAATAAACTTAAACCCGGACAAGAACAAGAAGCTCAGAACAGCTGCTTAAATTAATATTCTCCTCATGTAAAAGTGCCTGATAGCTCTCTTCCCCCTGTCCCAAAGCTAATAAAGACAGAGGTAGTTCAGAAAAAAAGAAGAAGTTCTGAATATAATCTTTTGAAGCAAACACCACATCCTGCATAAAAAGCCAAAAGGTGAAAAGTCATCCTCCTAGTGTTGCACACCTACACTTTCTCTAGAGTGTTACTTTAAAGGTTCTGATCCAGTCTGGACACTCTCACTTTATCCTGATGGTTACATCGTGATAAAACCGAATATCTACATACAGAGGCCTTTGGGAACAGGCAGTATGTGCAACATCGACTGCTCAGCGTGCATGTGGGGTGAACAGGGAAAGCGTGACTGCACACTTGAAAACACATTTGTTTTGCTCCCTGCCAACAACAAGCTGCGGGCAGCATGAGGTGTTTAGTAAAAACCTGAAACACAGCTGAACACGGCGCCTAACCACAGGCAGCATTCTCAGCCCTACGTACTGAAAAGACCGAAAGTGTCAGAGAAAAGTAGGACAGCAATCAACCTTAAACTGTGTGCAGGAGGAGAAAAGGTCAAAGCTTTGTGAGAGTGACGTCAGAGCTGAACCTATCAATCATTCAATCTACATCTGGATTTTTCTCTACAGAACTGTCAAGTATAATTTTTGTAATACTGCTATTATATAATCTAGCCCCCACCACAATATTTATTGACAATGTAGAGCTAAATATAGCTGCAGTAACATATGCTTCTTTGTATAACGAGCATCCACTCATTCGAGGGATTTGTGTGCTATGAGAAACTGGGCTTTGCATCCCTTAGTGCACAATGCATTGTTCATGCGTCAGTGGTCCCAAATCATTACTCTTTATTAAAATGAGCAAAGGGCCAGGCTTTGCCACTGATTTTAGCCTGTTCTCGTTAGCCAGAGCCATAATATTATGTAACCAGCAGGGCAAGCTTTCACACGTTCACCCATTGTTTTGGGGATGTTTGAATCTGAAGTTCTTTTCACTCAACCTAAACGTTTAAACTCTCCGCTCACTCTTCAAACACAGACAGGAAGTTTCCAGGTTGACGTCAATAAGAGAGTTATCACTGCGGCTTCAACATTGTAGAACAATGGGTCTTATCTTGGACAGTGAAGAAGTGAAGTGTTACACATGGCTGTAAAACATATAATCTGTGGGGAAAACAATGGTTGCTGAAACTGCGCAAAAGGTGCATCAACAGCTTTTGTGGAAGCAGGAAAAGAGAGAGGTTCCATTGTTTGAACTTTGCTACTTATTCAATTATTTCTCTGTCTTAGAGTCACCAGTCAGAAATCAAAAATCCTGCAGTGCATTTAAAAATCATTTGTCCCCTTGCAGATTCTTTCTGTTTTGGCTTTCTGCTCACATTTATATAATTTGAGAAATTTTAATAGAAATATAAGCTAAGTCGATACAAAATGTAAAATTATAATGTGATGATTTAAGCAAACAAAACTAAGTAATTGCCTCAAGCATTTGTAATGACTGGCAATGGTAACTTTGTTTTTCTTCCTTCAATCTTCAACCTGTGGGTTTTTATTTTCCTCTGTATGAAACTTACAGACCTTTACATTTTCTTTGAATCTTCATCTTAGCTGATGTCACCAAGAAGGAGCAAGACTACAACCTCTTCGCAAACATGCCACTTTGCAAATATTTTTGATAAAATGTTCACCAAGCAGAAATGATCATTCAATCAAGCAAGGGAGGCGCTGCATGGAGAAAATATAATTATTTTCAAGAGGAAAAAATGCAGATGATGTGCTGCTTTTTTATGATATGGCCTATTTGCTTCACAACATTTCTATTGCAACACAGCATAAGAAATCTGCCAAAGTTCTTGTACCCCTTTTATCTTCATCGACACTGTGTCCCCATTTATTTTGCTGAACCCACACTTCACATGAGCACTGTCGCTCCAATATTTACTGCAGGACATGTTCACACTGCTGATTGTTGAGCAGCTCATCACACTGAGCACTCATGACACAGTGTGCATTTCTCCTGCCTTCATTATCGACGAGCGGTCACAGTAAGCTGAGTCGTGACAAAGCTCGCTGTCAGGAGCTGCTGGACTTGGTCATAATGGCTGCCACATCAAAGGTAGCCTGTTAATAAACACGTGTGCATTGACTCACATTGAAAGGAGCAAAGGATAAAATATTAAAACGGCGAACAAAAATACGGGTTGATGTTCGATTGACAGGACAATCGAACATTGTCATGTCAATTGATTGACAGGACAATCAATCGATTGATTGAAAACACTATTTTTGCTTTTCATAAGCAAAAACAATATTCTTGCTTGTGAAAAACAAAACCTTTTGTTTTTCATAAGCAAAAGATTTAAGAAAAATAACCAAAATGTCCAAAAATATGATAAAACAGCAATTTAAAAACACAAGAGATGAAGACACTTGCTGTCCATTTTATTAGGCATATCTGTTCAATTGCTTTTAAATCAGCCAATCACCTGGCTCAATAAATAATCCCCTCAATGGGTATTTAGGCATTTGGGGTCTTTCTTTGTGAAGCTTGCCTATTCTCACCATGCATGTGTGGTTCTGTCTGGGTACTGACTTCCTCCCACAGCCCAAAGACATGATGGTTGGGTTAAGTGAACACTCAAAGTTGCCCTTCGGTATGAGTACACTGAAAACAACGATGGCATTTCCCACTTTAAAAAAAATGTCTTAATTGGTCACACAAGTAATCAAGTAAAATTATTCGAGGTTAATTTATTAAGTTTATTTAGTTGTCAATGTCAGCAAACATAAAGTGAATTTGTGTTCATTGTGACCGATTTCTGTAATTTGGAGCTCCATTCTCTTTTTTCAGTGTGCTTTGCATGCTTCATTGCCCTGTGTTGTCCTGTTGGACTGGCGACCTGTTCAACCCGCCCCTCGCCCCGCTGAGCCTCCTCAGCGGGAACAACAGCTAATGTTTTTTATTACATTATATCAGTTTAATAAAAAGCAATGATATCTGACAGTCTTTCAGACAAGCAGTTAGTGATCATAACCTCAAACCAAGATCCCAAAGGTGTCAGTACACCATAAGAGCTTAGATTGATCAGATCTAAAGTCATGTAATAAGCATTATGCAAAGGGTCTCCAAGACGTGTTTCACTGCAATGTCATGCTAAGTTGCCAGGGTAACTACTACTAGCAATACAAGCCGATGAGAATATATTTCTCTCCATGCTAATGTTTAGAAGTCCAGATAGTTACTTATAGGCAGAACAGCCATATTTAATCTGAAGAGATATTTATTCTGATGTTGACAGTGAGCTGACCTCATTCTTGAACACATACTGTTGCTGAACCGAGACCTGACCATCTGCAACAACCCCAGATCATCCCTCACTCGGCATGATGGGTAATTACTTTCACCCACCTCTCTTCTTACCCTACAGATATTTTCTCATGTGAAATCTTTCATGAGTTTGTTTGTCTATCTGAATCTCTAGCATCATGTGAACAATTATTGTTGGTGTTTAGAGTTTGGAAACCGTCCATTATCTAACCACAAGTTATTTGTGGCAAAGATCTTGTGCAAGATTCATTACAGTTGCACAAACACGTTGACTTAGGATTTTTCATGTTTGCTTTTTAATAATTTAGGTGTGCATGTTTAAATAGAAACGTATGATTCATATTGTGACCTTTCTGAGGATTATTTCAAATTTGTAATGACTTCTGTTGCCAATTCTGCAACTCATAATGCTTTTTCCAGTAGCATTTATCATTTCGTAAAACAAGATCTCTAGTTTCTGTCTCCATTGATTTTCTCAAATTCAAAGTGTGATCAAACATGTTAAATGGAGGTCTAAGATGACAATTGTGCGAATTTACTTTGCAATGTTTGACTTTTACAATGCGTAATATGTTGAAAGATCTCCCCCTTTCAATATTATTGAATATTTTATGTACTAGTTTGCAAAGGCCTGCTCTTTCTCAACCAAATGCAACATTGCAATGAATTCAATCAACTTCTTAAGGAAGGAAACGGTAAAATATGTTTTAGAAAGGAAGGAAGAAGCGGTGGCATCAGCCCATCTCACCGTCACAGAGAAGAGGAACAGCAATTCGCAGAAAAACCAAATCCGTCCATGTGACACTGTCTGGTTTCTATCAGTCTTAGCATGCAGCGTGTGCCAGAACATGCTGTTCTCAATAAGGTTGGCTGCTGTTATTATGCAACACATTAAGTAAAAGGAAGTGGAGGCCAGCAAGTTATGTGCTCTGTTTTCTCATTAATTATATTGCTAATGAGTTTAGGATGCAACAACCGAGGACTCCGTTTATTTAAATCAAAGACTTCCAATATGAGCTCTTAAAAAGACAGCCAAGACTTACTTTATTTTTCATATTTTATTTTTA